GTAGTTAACTTTTGCTATGTTATTATTGTTTGTATTGGCTTAATGAATTTAACAGTAATTTAATTTAATCAATTTTCATTAATTTATTTACTTCTAATTTGTGTAATAGTAATTTCTGATTCAAAATGTTATGTTTGACTCTTAATGCAGGCTGTGATCTTCTGTAATTAAGAATACACCAGATCAATAATTTATTATTCTCTGTGAATGCTATGTGATATTCTTGTTGAAGATCCTTAAATAAATAAATAAATAAAGATCTGCGATGCGGCCATGCCCCGCATTCGAGGTCGTCGGCCTCCAAGGAAGGAGGTCTACTGGTGGTCCCAGGAGCTGGCGGACCTCCGTGCGGCCTGTACACGTGCCCGGAGGTCCTACACGCGCAGTCGGCGGCGTCACCGTGGAGACGGTGAGGAGGACTGGCTTCATGAGGAGTACCGACAGGCGCGGAAAACTCTGAAGCTGGCCATTAGCCGCGCCAAGGAAGAAAAGAGAGAGGAGATGCTGGAGGGTCTTGATCGTGACCCCTGGGGTCGCCCTTACCGCGCGGCGCGACAAAAGCTCCGCGCTTCGGCCCCCCCCCTTACGGAGACTCTCCAGCCCAGCTTCCTGCGAGAAGTGGTTGAGGGCCTTTTCCCGCAACGAAGTGCAGTGTTGTTTTACCGCGGTCGCAACCTTCTGCGAGGAAGTAATCTCGCAGAAGGAGGCGGCGGAGAAGGCCCGGGAGGACGACCTCCACTCGGACCCGATCCGCCGCCGGCGAACCGGGCGGCGGAGGCGCGCTCACCTGCGCCTCATGCCGCCCTGAGTGTGGCCGCGGGTGGACGGGGTGGGTGTCCCCTCCACCCGCATTAGTTTGGCCAGCCGCGAGGGGGCGGCGTCCGCGTGTGCCGGACGTCGCCTAAAGAGAGGAAAAAAATCCACACGTTAAAATAAAAAAAAGAAAAAAAAAGTAAGAATCTCGGAATTCGAGATACCCAGCTGTAAGTCTGTAAATACTTGTATATTGACACCCTAAAAGTTGTCTCAAAACCTACATATAGTAGGGTGTAAGCAACTATTAAATTTCAAGGTCAAAAGTCACAAAAATCGGTTTATTGCGCTTTTTTTGGAAATATCTCATTTCCTATTAGTTTCTGCTATTTGTATTCATTATCAATATTGTAGAATACAAAATTCTCTACAAATTGAGTTCAAAAAAATTTTTTTATACGGTAAACCGTTTTCGAGATAGAGGGCGGAGAGCGTGCGGTCACAGCATCACTTCAGGTCAACCGGTGCCTCCGGTCGAAAACGCGCCATATATAGTTGATGAACCATCGATAAATCAATGATTATAAATATTTGTCAATTTTTATTAACTATTATATTATATTTTATCATTTTTTTCCTAACTTATCCACTTTTTATTCAGTATTAATTTATTTAACAACACTTACCTGCCCATGTAATTGCAGAATTTTTAATGAAAATATAGGAATTATATTTGAATTTTAACCTAATTAATATTAATAACTTCTTACATGATGAAAAAAAAACAAATAAATTATGAATTAATCTTTTTATTAAAAAATATCATAGAATACATTTATTTTTATTGAAAGTAAAAAAATGGAATAAAGGTTACAAAAACTACAATTTATAATTTTAATCATCTTCTTCCTCTTCATCGTCGTCTTCTGGCTGCTGGTAAATTTCAAACTGGTCTTCATTATCGTCTTCAACGACATTTGTCTCAAGTTCTTCCATGATCTCGGGGTCAAAGGTTCCATCTTCGTTAATGTCGCTCTGATATGGTAGAGCATTGAGACAAGCTTGCCCATTACATTGGCCACAAGCTAAAGAGCAATGCAAGCCCGCTTTCCTGCATCCGCATCGCGAATCACAACCACTCTTGCAGTTGCAGAAAATTGTATTTAGCAAATCTTCTGGAGCAGGTGGTAAAATTGTCATGATAGGCTCCAGAAAATCATTTCGCATTGCCCAACCCCATACCTGGGGTTCCAAATCATGTCCTAACCAAGTTTGAACTTGATAATATACACGGTTGAAATGCTGATGAGCAGCTGCACTTGTTGGTGGAATAGTTGAAAGCTGCACAGGTTTATTAAGTTTTGTAGACTTGACGTAATGCATATAACGAAGATGATCGAGACTTTTCACAGATTTCGGAGCATTATAGACTGCCAATAAGGTTTGAGTTCCACTCTCTAATAATCTCTGGGCCGAACAATTTTTATTTATAGTCATTGATTTATCGATAGTTCATCAACTATATATGGCGCGTTTTCGACCGGAGGCACCGGTTGACCTGAAGTGATGCTGTGACCGCGCGCTCTCCGCCCTTCATCTCGAAAACGGTTCACCGTATAAAAAAATTTTTTTAAACAAAATTTGTAGAGAATTTTGTATTCTACAATATTGATAATGAATACAAATAGCAGAAACCCATAGGAAATGAGATATTTCCAAAAAAAGCGCAATAAACCGATTTTTGTGACTTTTGAACTTGAAATTTAATAGTTGCTTACACCCTACCATATGTAGGTTTTGAGACAACTTTTAGGGTGTCAATATACAAGTATTTACACACTTACAGCTGGGTATCTCGAATTCCGAGGTGAACTTACTATAATGACTGGACTAATTTGATTGCATTTCTTAAAAATATCCCTGTTTTTAACCAAAAGTTATACTGCCAAAGGATCTGATGATGGAATCTTAGAAAAAAATTGTAGGTATATCAACAAAACCCCAATAACTCTATGAAAATGAATGAAAAGATGAATCATTCATTTTTCATCATCATCGCTAAGTGCCCGTTTTTCATTGTAACTCATAAGTACCTACTTACCGAATTAGATTTTGCGAGTATATAGTCGAAATTCCATCATGAGATAAATAATGAAATACTGTTACCAAAACGTTTATACTGACAAAATTTGAGATCGTCAATACATGACAAAACAAAAAATTCGGTTGACAAACAGACGAGAAAAGGGCATTGATTCGTTTTGTCTTAGGCAATTCATCATTATCTGACTGCCCTTATCCCATTATTGACACAATCCATCTACCTTTTCTTATGTTTTCTTCCTATCTTGTACCCTTCCACTCCCATACGTAACACTTACTTCGCCACATTTTCCTCATCCTTCTTAGCCAATTTTACAACTTAATTCTTCCTATTAGATAGATTTTGGTCTTTTATAGCAAAAGGCATTCCGATATTAAATCAAAATTATGGTTACCCTATCCCAGCACTATGAGATAACATTATTTTTGAGATTGGGTTGAAAACTGTTCTGAGAGTAAAACGATATGTCATTCTACGTCCGTCGAATAAATGGATGTTTACGCCAAAATCCTAGCACTTATAGATATTCAGATATCAGGCTACAAAATAACGTTTCGACTTCGCGGTTTTTTTGATTGATTTTGTGTTTAACTAAATTAGTATTTATTGCTGTCTTTAGTTTTGACTTATTAGACCTTTCTTTTTGTAACAGTTTTACTGTATAAGTCTTACGTTTTAAATAAATAATAATAAAGAAAATTCTAATGTTCTATCACACTCACACAACGCCATCTAGTCCCAAACTAAGCAGAGCTTGTGTTATTTATCAGAAATATATTCTGAAGAACCTGAAGGATGGTACGGTTGACATCTGTCGGGCATGCCACCGTACTTGTTGCCAATAAGCCTGATATAGTGGTGACCGCGCACTGATAGTTGATATCGCCTCATGATGAGAATCTCGTGAAAGTTGAAAATAAAATATTTAGATTTATCTCACCCAATTATTATTATTTTGAGTATTTCGGACATCTGACAAACAACGCCATCTAGTTTCAAACTAAGCAGAGCTTGTACTATGGAAACTAGATTGATTGATAGAATAGTTATATACTTTTTTTTGTTAATACATACATATTATACGTAGAAAACACCCAAACTCCGAAACAAGTATTTGCAGATCATACATAGATTCGAACCCGAGACCTCAGCACAGCAGTCGCATACGCTACCACTGCCCTACCCAGGCAGCCGAATATGGATTCGGTAATTATTGTTCCGATATTTGTGTCTGTTCACGAATTGATAGCGCCTCTACCAACTCCTTAAGGGCTCATGTTAGACGGCTGGATCAAGGGTCTGATGCAGAAGGGAGTTCTCCTTGACACGGCCGGTATATTGAGGTTTCTGTCTTTGGGGCCCTAACCACCGGTGTCTTAGTCCTTGTACCCGAAGTTGGTGGTCTACTATTTTTTACATTATAATTAAAAATGAAATTAATATGTAGGTATACTTGACACATCTCACACACGGTCATCTGATCCCAAACTAGGTAGAGCCTGTGCAATGGGAACCAGATTGATCTTGTCATTTCGACATACATAAGATATATTTTTTAAATATATACATATTTTAGATAAATTACGCCCAGACGCAGAACAAATATCATGCTTATCACACAATTATTTGACCTGGGTGGGAATCGAACCCACGACCTCTGACTTAGCAGTCAGCGTCACTAAACACTCGACCAACAGGCCAGTTAAATAATAATATTTCATACATCTTATACACATACATACATCAATATCAATATTTCACACATCTTATACACATACATACATCAATATCAATATTTCACACATCTTATTCACATACATAATCGGTACTGCAGATCATTTATTTATTTTTGTATAGTATTGTGGGTACAAGTGGTCGACAACTACACCGTAGCAGTTACTGAACTAATTGCCGCAGAGACTGACCCTAACAGTCGATCGCCGGATGGAGTAAGCGGACATTGTCCGGCACGATACGCTTCGGTGGTCCGATCTTTCACCTTCGCAATATTAACGCCTATAAAACGTTGTCATTTCAATATTGTTAAGTTACTTTCATTCCAACACAAGCGTAGAATACAACTTCACTCTGTGAGAAGTTATTTACCATAAAAATATTATTTGGGTGTTAACCCATTTTCAAAATGTCCAAACTTGGAGGTTTGGTGGGTTACTGAATTTCCCTTTTTTATGCGGGCATGTCGTTAAAGAAACAACTCATTTTTCAATTTTTTTGCAGTTATTGGTCTGGGCTATATGTGAAGGAGTGGTGTCACTTGAAGAGCAAAATGATTTTGTCCAGCCGTTGGATTTTGAACCTATATTCGCATCAGGTTAGTGATTCCTAAATACACTATAAAAACTATATTACTTACATTCACTTAAGGCTTCAGCACGCACGCTGTAATTAAATATAATAAGTATTTTAGTAAGTAATAAGTATTTATTTATCCTCTTTTCAGGCGCTTCGCTGGCTGCTAATCCTTTAGCGGCAGCCGTTCTCAAAGTAGATAAAAACCAGTATCCTCAATTATTTGATACTATTGTCAGTAGTTCCATCGATTCCTTGCAAACAAGATTAGCACCCAGAGAACTCGCATTTTCAGCCGAATCTTTTGGCTTTAATCCTATTGCCAGCCAAAGCTTTTTGCCGCCGGGAAGTTCTGCCAAGCTAGTAGCGCGACCTAAGCAGCAACACGTTCAACATCAGGCGATACCGGTTGGTCAACAACTCGGCCCATTACGATATGATATTCGCACTGTACATGACGCTAATTATAAAGTATACAAACCGGAAGAGGAACAACAAGAGGAGGATATTTTAGCTGCTTTGAAAAAAAATCCTGCCGTTTCTGCTTATTTTAAACCTACTGAAACTAATGTCGAAGTAGCTCATCCACTAAAATATAGAACGGAAGAATTTATTGAAAACGCAGACGTTGAACAACAAAACTACAAGCCAAATGCTTATCTTACAGGACATCCCCGTGTTCGACGGTATACTAGCGGGAGACAAAGAGCCAATCTGAAAAAAAGCCACGAAGAAGATGACGATCCTTATAACTACAAAGTTGACTATATTTACAAACCTAAGGCCTTCGATGGCGAATCATACAGCGCCTATAAAGAAGCGAAAGATCCTAACAAAAATTATGAATATCCTTATGGAGGATATGATTCAGGATACGATCATAAAGAATACGACAGAATCAAGGAGCTATCAGAAAAACAAGCAGCAGATATAAAACAAAATCCGGGTAATTGCAAAGAAGTAAAAAAAGATGGAATGACTTGCACAACCTGTAAAGATCCCAAAACAGGTGGAAATTTTGAATCCTGTTCCTATGTTGCGGAGCCTAAAAATAACAAATATGCTTATTCAAAAGAAAGAAAGTTTGACAGCAATGACGAACCCGAAGAAAGTGAAGCACCACAAGAAGCTGATGCACCAAACAAATCTGAAAAATATGAACAGGTAAAAGATGATAGTAGCGAACAAAAGTACTCCAAGCTATCTGCTGCCGAGCCGCTGAAAGACGACGAATCTAGTGAAAAATATAAAGGTTACTATAGACATTCTACAAAACCAAAAACCAGTGAAGCTCTTCAAGATGCAGACGAGAAACAAAGTTCAGAAGAAGATAGAGATGGATCGGGTGGCAAAGCTTACGACTACAAAAAAGCTATACCCGGATTTTATACCGATAATGAGCCAAAGAAAGATGTAGAGCATGTATTAGCAGAGTTTAAGAAAAAGGACAGATCTTCATGTAAAAAAGTTCAGAAAAATGGAATGACTTGCTACCAATGTATAGACAAAAATGGTTTGAAAAATGAAGAATGCATGTTTGTGTCAGAATCTGCTCCAAAGCGAAGCCATTTAGCCTATCAAGAACTGAAAGAATTCACGTCTAAACCAACTGCCCTTGAAAATAACAATAAGGGCGCTGAGAGTAAAATAGTCACCACAAGTGCTCCTCCAGCAAAAAAATCAGCCTCATATGTAGTTGATACTAACACATATGGCAAAAAATTAAAGCGTAAAAAAGCAACGCAAACTATAGTCGCGGCTGCCGCTGCTACACCTGCCGTAAATGTTGTAAAACCCGTTTCTTCGGCCACTATTGTACAAAAAACAAAGAGAAGTGTGGAATCAAAGGCTGAAGAAAACTCAAAGATTATAGACGAAACAAATCTAGCACCACCTGAAGAATTTGCTGGCAGTGATTCTAAAGGGGCTTTTTGGGCAGAAACGATTCCTCGGTATAGTCCAACTTTAGGTGTTACCTTGCCTCAATATATGCTGTCAAGGTCGGATCATGAAGTTTCGTTTGATGAAACTGTTGCAAATGCATAAAAGCTATTATAGGTATGATTTGTTAACCAAGAAATTCATCATTAGTGGAGCGTGTCGATTGTACAACGCTTTAGATAAAACCTGAACAAAAGGTAACGGGTATTTATTGCGTAATAGTAAAATAACATTTCACAGACTGACGTGCTGCGAGTCAGGGCATGAAAAAGCAATGAAACAAATCTGCAGCTGAACCAAACAATTAATTTCGTATTTTTATTAGTTTTATCATTAGTTATTTTGTTAAATTACTTATTGTTATAGCGGAAATGACCTACTGCTCGTAAGTAGTAGGTACATAAGAAAGGTTTGAGACGTAGCCAACGACTGTTAGTATCTCGAAAATTCTTAAATGTTGTTAACTAGTTTTAAAAGTTATTGAACTATTAAAATTGATTTATTATGATTATTTTAAATGCTTTTTTATTTCTGATTGAATCATTAAATATTAATAAATTTACAATAATTAGGAATTAAATTACATTATAGTAGAGATATTTGGCTAGATGCAAGTTTGTATTGGACAGGAACAGTATAACAGTAACTCTGCATAGTCTTTTTCTTACAATAAGATGTGCGAATCTACACTTGCGATAGTCAAGCAACGAAAAGTAATCCTGAATGAAGGATTCCATGAATTTATAAGGGTTCCATTTAATCTATATTAATATTATAAAGCTGAAGAAGCGCTAATCTCCGGAACTACTGGATCGAATAAAAAAATACTTTTAGTGTTGTATAAGCCGATTTAGCGAGGAAGACTATACGCTATATATTATCACGCTACGACCATAAAATGGGAGCCGATCATCAATAAAACGGTTGTAAAAACGGGCAAAATTTACCGATTCTGAGGCAGTGAAGTTTCGCGGGTCATCAAGTTATATTATTATATATAGCCTTTTGTATTGTAGGCTCATGAAATGCTAATACATACTAGAATATAAATGTCCTATATAACAAAACTGTACCGTCAGGTCTTAATTGTTGGCATGATATTCGGTTAGCGTCCTAGATGTCAATACTATGTTTGATGTTTCTATTTTTACTCGTAATTATCCAAGATATGTACCTACGTCAGTGAGAACGAATTAAAAGCATAAATGAAACACCAGACTTCGGAAGAAAGTGATTAATTTCAGTCGTATACTAGTCATACAGCAGTTCAGCGCTCTGTGCGTATTTATAAAGGCGAATAAGATCGGAAGCCAATAATAAAATTGTAGTTGTGTTTTGTGTAGTGAACGCACTGGTTGATTGAACAGCTGCCGGTCTCTTGAATTGGTAATATTAAAACATGTATGTGCTGTGTATTGTACAGTGTTTGCTGTGTACTTATAAGTTTATTTATAGTTTGAATAAATACAACTTTTGTTAAATAACTTTTGTTATCGAAGAATAATAATCATGATATTCGATAAATGTATTATGTAAATATTCAGAATATAATTGTTTAATTTAAATTTCTTAGTCTGCATAGTTTATAAAATTCGAGTACCTTCTTAGGCCTATCTGGCATTTCTTTTTTTAATCTAGATACCTATTAGCTATTGCGTGCACCCAAGTAGAGAATAGTTCGGAAATTCACCGCAATAAAGAATGCAGACCGCAGCTACCGATTACGAAAAAAAGACAATTTGTCTCAATGCCAAGAAACCAATTGATTAAAAAACGAGGTTATATTATTACGCAGCGGTTTTCGACTGCGGCTGATCTTCAGACTTAGTTTTATTGTATTATACACTTTTACATCGTAAGGTATGGCATCGATTTTTATAAAAAAGTAAACATTTTTGTTCCCCGTAAGCACTGATGTGATATCCTTGAACCAATGAAGTGGCAAACAAGTATGCGAATCTAATATGATAATGTGCCGGCTGTATGAGCCGTTTTAGTTAAGTATTTTCTGTAACCGATTATTTATTCATATACCGTAACAAAGCCATTTGCAGTCTTTTTTTTTTAAATAATAAGCAAGTATTCTAGTTGCCCATAGTATAGCAACACCATACAGTCTATAATATTCCTGATAAGAATTGACTATGTAATATATACTTACAGTTATTGTGAGCCGGTAGGGATAAATCAAAGTTGTTATTCTAAAATAGTGACATCTTAAAACCAATATTACTGTGCCCCTAATACATGGTATTTGTCGAATAGTTATAATTCATATTGTTTATTATTATAATTTTCAGAATAGTTACTAGTTTGTTTACAACTATGAACTTACAAGATTTTGACGAGGAGTATGTGGACGTACGAACGTTGCCACTCAGGCCTCCTCAACCGTTGTTGCCCCCACAGCGGCCCGTGCGTCGGCCGTGGCACCCCGTCATGTGGGACGACTCAATCACCGGCATTCCTCCACCAGAACAAAAGGAATCAGAAGAGGTAAATTAATCCTCGATTCCCACCCAGGACAAACATTTATTTTAACATTTCTATATGGGCATGTAGAAAAATAAATGTTTATAAGCAGTTTGGTTCCTATAGCGCAGGCTCTGCATAATTCGGGATCAGACAGCAGTGTAAATTGTGTCACTTTAATTTTGTTTAAGTTGCCGTGCTGCTTTCATAATGTTTGTGCATATCTTTTTCATCTTTTCCTTTACTTTGAATACCCATCGTACTTTTAATAAAATAACTGATACAGCTAGATCTCTTGTAAAAAAGTATATTAACCCATGCAGATTACGTAAGTAGTAGTAGTTGGTACTTTAATAATATAACAACCTTGTACTTTATTTCATTAAATGTAACAGGGCAGGTAATTATTATTTTTACCGCCTAAACAGAAAAAAACAGTCCAAAAATGAACAGCAAAATGGCTGTTAATAGTTCTTATCATACCTCATACATCATATCACTGTTTACATGGTGATAGTGAAAAGCGATCTAAATGTTATAATCAGTCTTAACCAAGGCTTCCATGCTTTAAACTGTTAACGAGTATCTAAGAACTTCTGTAATCATATCAGTTCCTGAACTATAACACATACAGTTTTGTCATTTGTTTTATTTTAATGTTTTGTCACTGTCACACTCTAGTATTTAAACTTACTTTTCTGTTTGTTGTAGGGAAAAATATCCCATCCCATCCCATCTTGAACTTTCTCTGCCGTAATGACATCATTCAATATAATCTCGGTTTCGGATTCTCCTAACCTCTTCTGTCTTCTGAACATCACCGGTTTCATTTTTTACCTTTGTATTTATCCTGAGTTAGCAAATCATATTTTATGATTTCTTAAACAGTTTTAGATTAATTGCAGTAACCTGTAGTTATTGCAGGTATTAATTTTTAATATGACACAATAAAATCAAATCGGGGTTCATATTTAGTGGTATATAACATTTAAAAAACTGCAAATATATATAACATTTGTATTTATATAAATGTTTAAATTAAATAGGTACTGCTTTAACTTTAATCACTATAATAAACACCTTGTGTACTATTGAAGTAATCTAGCGATACAACGCAAATTTAATTTGAGAATAACCTAGATACATTGAATGTACTGCACAAAGTATGGGAGTAAAATCTCGTGTTGTATAAATTGAAATTTTGTTTTAATTAGTGATTACGGTTTTATTTTTTATTCTTCTAACATATTAGTTAAAAATATCTCTGAAAACAATCTTTGTATCTAAGCGGAAGAAGAAAATGGACAGATAATTTTTCATGTATCCTTGCCAGTATTGGTGGATGGAAAAAACCATACTATCCTTACCCGTAGGTATATTTGGAATATGCATTTGAGATGTTAGTCAGTTTCAGTCAGTTCACTGTGTTGATTGCAGTCTGTGCCAGTGTCGCGAGAGTACCCCCACAAGCAGCGCATACGCAACCTGCGCCGCCTCATCGCCGAGGGGAAAGTTAAGCCTACTTCTGAGACGTTGATATTTTTCCTGTGTAACAAATTCGCCGCATCCGGCGAACGCAGACAGCTCGAGTAGAGATTACGTCCACAGCAGAAAATACAAAATATTAATTTTACTTATTTATAACCGTATACTATATATATGTATGTAATTTTAAATTTGTACTCAGAAATATGTAAATATAAAAATGATATTTTTAAAAGTCGAGTTCTCTCTTTATTCCTTCGAAATAGAAATATGTACAAATAATACATCGATCGAATGGTCGACGAGGCCGATCGCCGAGTCGAGGGGCGGGGCGGACTCCAAAGACTCGAGGCGGAGTAGGTACATATACTTTATATTCTCATAAAAATTATCTACACACAAGACTTAATATAAAAACAAAATGGAGTTTCTCAAATACAAGTTATACAAAGAAGTGGAGTGCGGGCGCCAGGGAGGGCGCCAGGGAGGGTGCCAGGGAGGGGGCGTGGAGGCGTGGAGCCCGCCCCGCGCTACGTGGCGGCGGGCGGCGGCGCGGCCGGCGCCTCCGTCGGCGCCGCGCTCGCGCCCTCCTCTTCTTCCTCCTCCTCCGGGTCGAACTTCAGCATTAACTGCTTGAACTGTCAAATATATGTAAATATTAGACATCAAACGGATTTTCTATACAGATCCGATATCCAATCTAAAAGAGAATGCCTATTCCTCGTACCATATTGCGTCAGGTCACAGGTACTTTATCACCAATGTTTTATTAATGTGTATAATTTTCAACCCTCTTGTTGAATCGAATTTAAAAAAGGATGAAAGATAATAACAAATACCTACTTCCCCAGAAAAATGGCAAATCCGTCAAACATTCGTTTCCGATAACAACTACTTTCGTAAACTGACAATGAGCATAAAAATCTTGTTCACTTAGTTAGCTTTAGCTGCTGTCTCGGTTAACAAGATTATAGTAGTAGGCAATAATTAAAAAACTAAGAATATATTCTTCAAAACAATTTATGGTCATTCGACCATACAAGCGACCGTTCTACTACAAGAATACCTTTGATAACATTTGTGAGATTGAGAGAAGATCGGAACTTCAGCGAATTTTTTTTTTGAGAATTCACAATCTGAGCGCGAGGAACAAAAGAGTGGGGTCTTAAGTTATCGTGCACGTATAGTATAAATATAATATACATTGCACTTCTCAGCAATGCAGCCTTAAACGACTGCACGAGTGACGTAGTGGTCACCTCGCCGCTTCCTACTGAGCTGAGTGTTGTAGGTTCTCTTCCTTCTGTTGTAGATTCTCCTATGTATAATAATCACGTATATAAACAATATTCACGTCTATCATCATCATCACCATAAAGAATGTTATCCAGCTTTATTTTCTTACTTTTTTAATATTTCGAAAAAGCGGTAAATCACTGCTAAAATCTGTTAGGTAATGAAAAGTCCAATAAAAACTTGACTCTTGAGAGTAAATTTGTTTTGACGCACATGACGCACGCATGGTACGGATTCCCATACAAAAATGGGCATCGTCCTTTATCATTTGGACGGATATCGGATAATAGGCAAGTTTTAAGCAGAACAAGGACTTTGAGAGTTTTTTTTAAAGCCATTTTTATCACTAAAAAATTTTTAAACTTGGCAGTGACAGATATATTATGAGAAGTCATTATGGTGAATTGATACATATTTATTTAGTGGTTTTGTTTGTCTCCACATAATAATATTAGCTTAAACAGTCTACTCTGGGCACTGCTCTAATATAATTTTTTTATGTGAATTCTGATAAACAGCTTAGAATATAAAAAATCATCCTTATTATTTAAATGCCTTGTAAAAAATAAAAATGTTTTTTATACTATTGTGGTAATCGACGATGTTCGACCGATGTCCGGGTAAAGCTAACCCTTTCATCTCTAGTGAAAGTTCTTCACTTTTTTAAATACTAAAGAAACTAGTCGCTTTTCACCGCCGTGATAGACATAATAGAGTGTATATAATAGAGAGTGGTCATATTATGGGTTTCGAAAGAATTAACCTTGAGGAATAAAATGGAAAAATATATATTGAAAAGTAAAGGTAGATAAGAATGGAAGGCAACAGAAAGAAAAGGAAATAGCTCACAAGAAGGAATTGTGGAGTGCGAGCAATATTTCAAGGTCAGGGTCACGTGGTCACTAGACAACAATTAGCATGATCAATCTTTACGCATACCGTAATACTAATAAAACTTTAAACAATAGATTATAATATAGTCCATATAAAACGAAGCCACTGCTTCAGAATTGCCTTCGGTATAAACTAAAAGAAATGAACTAATTGTACAATACATTTAATGTTAAGATATAATTTTTAAATTTATATTTACCGATTTGGTTTGATAACCAAAATAGACGACATTTAAATCACGATGTTTCCTTGTCACCAAAAGACAGCAGCCAGCAGTATTACATCTATATAATAGTGATGTTCCATTTGATATATATATATTAAGGGAAGAGCGTATTTTTGTATTTATGAAATGGCACTGCATATTACAAGATGAATGTAGAAAATGTCCCGCCTACATGCATGCATCCCTTAATTAATGTTGTTGTGGATGGAAGTCTTACCTCCAAATAATCGTCAACGAGTCTTCGCCGGCCACGATCGTCAAGGTCGTCACCGACATCTCTCTCTTGCAACTGCGCGATAGTAGCCTTGGGCTCGAAAATGGGCGCCTGCCTCCGCGACACCGCTTTCTCGTACACTTTCACGCCCTCCGAAGGTGAATACTGGTTGATTTTCCTTTAATGAAAATGTTTTCAATTTATAAATTTCTTTTCTACCCAATCACAAAATAATCAAAAGTAACGGAGTGTATAAAAAACGCGGACACGGCGAAACTATAAGGGAACCTCGGTAGGACTCTAGAAATCTAGAAAGACGTTTCGTATCTAATCGAATCATATCTGAATCGCTTGGCATCAATACTTTAATTTTGCACAACATGGTCCATAAATAATCCTTGTTACTTTTATATTAAAGACTCTACTTACAAAATTATCTAAGTAGAACTGGTCAGTGGCTTCAACATTATAATTTCGCAAGATTATGTCAGACACGATAGATTGTTCCCAATTATAGCCACTAATACTGCAGTAGCCGAAATGGTTGTTATTAAGGTAACATAATAACAGCAATGCACATATTAGAGACAAGTCAATTATATTGAAACGACATCGCAACACAAGAAAAACTTGGTTATAACGAAGATGGATATTTATTTTGTTATACTCCTTAAAATCGGGGGTTTATTTTAAATATGATGACAGTTTATACTTACGCATCAGTGAAGCCGTAAAGCTGTTTGAGGTGCTGTTTGAGCACAAGGAGCAGGAGACAGCCTCTTGCTTGTCGCATGGCGTCCTGTAATGGCCGAGTGCACTCTGGCATTTGGGCCAATAAGGTTTCTGCTTCCTCGTCATCTTCTTCTTCGTCTAAGGGCTCTTTTTCTTCTGTACATGGTTTGTTTAAACCCTGTGCAGATTAAAAACTTCATGAACCATGGTTTTAACAGCATTGAAATAGTCAAACATTGTATTTATCTGCTTTATATGTGCTATGTAACAAAACTTTTCAACGTTTTCAAAGACGACAAAAAGTCCGATTAACATAAAAACATGCAAAAATATTAAGGACCGTTAATAAAATAAGTCTAGAAAATAAAGAAACTAGGAAACGAAATTGGATTGTAAAAAACTTAGCCATTTAAGTGTTTTTAGGTTCATAAAATAAATAATAAAAAAAAACTTAGTCATTGGCTTAGCTTTTTACAGTACTTACCGTTTAGAGATATCAATCAGATTTTAAGTTTTTAAAAAGAGCCACGGATAACATTAATCAGCCTATAGAGTTATAGAAAATATTTCTAATTCTCACCTCACGAAAAAGCTGCAATAGATTCGATCCTGACGTTGAAATAATTATATCAATATGATGTATAATAAATAGTGGTTCATCTTGAACTTGAAATGGAAAGTAGCTCAGATTATCAGCCAGGTATAACATTTGATCCAGCGGTGCGGTCTGAAATAAAAACATATCTTGTAAAATATATACAAAGTAGATAAAATCTTGTCACAAAATTTTCTAATTACCACATATTAGTAAACCACATATTCTGCACTTTGCGACGATTGCTAAATATGAACAAAAATATTTAGTTGTTTAAAAACAGGACTTTTTTGTTTTTGTAATTTGCAACATCATGTAAACGCAGTCATAATACATTGACCTCAGGCGGTGGTCAAAATTAAGTTTTGTGTGTGATGTAGTGTGGAACTGAGTGAATTATCAGTCTTTTAACTTTATTGGGTTAACGGTATCAACATCCATAACGCCGTGAGTGTCCTTCACAGCCGCGGAATATCCTGACATCAACTTACGCAGAACTCTATCAAAACGCATGTTTAGCTTTACGGACAAACCGAGGTAAGGAATCAATCGTGTATGTCCTACGGACTGCCGAATTTTTTAAGGGCGGTACAAAGATTACAAGACAACCCAAGCATCTACTTTTTCAAGGAGTGACACGTACTGCCGGGTCCGAAACTAGTCGAGCATTCCCGAAATAAACACGTGAATAAATCGTATTTTTAATAAATAGATTTTAAAAAGCAAGTAAGTGATTAGTAGGTAGGTGTTAAGAATGTAAAGTTCGCCGGCTTGTCACAGCGGCGGTGTCGCTTTAATGTCGCCGACATTGCTACGCTGCCGTGTACATTTCACCGACTCATGTTAACAATGGTGTTCTAATTCGGCAATTATTTTATTGTATTTATTTTGTTCTAAATTTGAATTTCTGTATTTTCGTACTAATTTTTTATTTTATTTTTTATACGTCGTATTGAAACGTGTTATCTGTTATTCAATTTTTTGTGATAAGCTTCATTACATATTGTATTTACTGTACATTATTCTCAGAAGATTTGCAAAATATGATCGCAATATATTCAGTGGTTTATAAACAGGATCACCAAGATGTGGAGTCTCAGCCACTCTGTCAAGCTTCAATAACCCTACAAGTAGTTATTTCGAGCCTTGACCAACTCAGAGGGCTGTTCTGCCAAACCGGAGCTGCACTAGTAATCTTCCAGGTTGTCTTGTCTTAAAAGCTGTACTAGCGACCCATCCCGTTTTCGCACGGGTGCAATGTAAACACTAATGTGGTGTCAGTGTACTGATTAATATTATTATGACTATTCACATTACAAATCTTAGAAATTCTCGACTTACCCTACTATAATGTGCGTGTTATACATTTAAACCTTATTTTTTAATAACTCTGTCTATTGATGAAAACCGCATTAAAATACGTTGCATTTTTTTGAATGGGACGGCGGGAAACTACTTTGTTGTAGAAACGTAAAATTTTATGAAAATAAAGTTATACTTACAGAAACATCATCAAATTGTTTCAGTAATGATAAAACTAGAGCCCGCCGTTGTGGACGCGTATTACGTAATAATGAGTACAAGAAACCATTTAGAGCAGTCGGTAAATCGTCTTGGTCTTTTTTCCTGAAAAAGGTATCAATTATGGTTATTTGGTCAGATAAATTCATGAATTAACCATATTTTAGTACCAGCAATAATTACCTAAACCCTCTTATAACTCTCGTGCTCTCACTTCCTTGCAGGATTTTTTGTAATTGGTATGAAAGTTTGATGCCAAGTTGGGCTTTCATATGAATGAAACCGGGATACTTCTTATCTATTTCTTGAAGGTGTTTGTCAGCCGTATGTGATACAGTTACCTCCAAATCAGTACTCATGCATATTAAATATGGAACAATCTGAAATAAAAATAATTTCAAAAACAATAAATGTGTGTCATTAAATAAGAGTAAAAGTAACGGCACATGCCATTCGGATATTCAATCAGAGTGACGCCTTCGCGTTTATATGATAATGGATTTTTTTAGTTAATTCTGGAAATGAGGTTATTATTTATAATTTGAGTTACAAGTATTGTTAATTTATTAGATCTATTTACCTGTACAGGATGCACGAGACCTTGTGCCAAAACGAGTTGAACCACTTTCATAGCACTGGATCGAACGACTGTGCTTATGTGCAGAAACGACCCGAGGATCTCTTTCAAGTAAAGCTGTATCACTGTCGACGCCATACCGGACGAGACGTCACCCATCTCTTTGAGATTCTCGTGTTTGGACCTTTTTGACCCTTAAAGATAAATGTTATGCTTTTACATTATTGGCATGTTTTAACACATTTACACATACATATGCCAGGTCACAGAATTTATACAGTCATTGATGTTTTTATTTATTAAAGTGGCTAGCATAACTTAAATTGAAGACATTTTTACTATTCAGTATTTCAGTTCATCTTACTCAGAATTATATTTTCGACTGGCAGTATCAAGGGAATCAATTATACATTAATTCTACAAAGTATATACAAGTACTAACATTCTTTATCTTGTCTTATCATCCTCTGTTCCTCCTCTTGTAAGTACATTTCAATATTTCTAAGCACGTCAGCTTTCATTTCTACGGGCGCCAAATCTGATGTAAGCAGTTGATGATAGAATTCTTTCAGTTCCGGCCGCAGCATAAACTCGTAATGCCGAACGCAAACAGATCCTAGCGCTTTGAGTGTATGTGAAACAAAGTCTTCATCTTCGAGGCCAACGAAAAACATCAAAGTCGTGAAAATTTGTTCCTTTATATCACCCTAAAATATTACCAAACCAATTAAATTAAAATATTACCATTATTGTTCCAGATACGTGTAAATTCACGTATCTGGAACAATAATTGTTCCAGATACGTGAATTTAGCACTAGTGCTACTTAATACTCTCTGTATTATACATGTATTTATAAAAAGCAAGCTTCAATCCGATATGATACAAATCAATAGGAACCCAAATAACAATTACGATCATTTCATAAACTACTATTTGGTGCTTGATTTCTATTTATGATAACTGAATCGATTGGACGCTTTAAGTTGATACAATTTAAAAACGATTAGGTAATTGTAATATATCGCGCTGTTTACCTCCAAATTAAGAAAATCAGATGGCGGTAATGTAAAACTGCTTTTCTAGTAGAAGTCTAAAAACTGTCAGTTTTTAGACTTCTTCTAGAAGGTTTGGGTTTTAGGCATTTGAAGAACCTTTTTGTTCTTCAAATGCCATCATAAAACCAAATATGGCAATGTTATCAATATAAAAAATATCACATAGTGTACTCTTATTGCATGAATGCTTCTACTTCTGTTCAGTTTTATATAATGACGCACAACAATCTATAATTTAAACAATTTTTTAAACTTTTATTACTGTATGCATGTTAGAATTGCTCCTAATTGAAGTACTTTGTCTTACCGGTAGTCCATCTATAACTCTTGCTTCAGTAAAATCAAAATATCGCAACAAAAGTCCTACTATAAAGAGGGCTCGTCGAAAATGCGGTCTCGAATGTAATGCTCTTGTCATTTCAGGATTTCGCTGCCAACAATGTTTCCATTGAAGAAGTACACCTAAAACGTTTATTAATATGTAGTGTTTAAAGTATATATGAGTAAAGCTTTTCCAATACTATTTACTCCTTATACTGATGTTTGAGTATCAAATACATGCAATATAATATGGTAGCATATTTAAAAATTAACTGTTGCCCGCTATTTTAATATGTAACGGTTTAGTCTACTAGTCTAGTCTCTATCCAGTAGTAGACGCTCTAGGATAAAGGATCTTACAGGTAAATTAGCTTGGAGAAATTTTTGCGTTTGTAGTAGTGTATGGTCATGGACAGCGTAAACTGGTTTATTCTGGTTTTGTGCGTGTTTCCACTTTCCACTATCAAGTGACGATTTTTTGCTTTAGATTGAAATATCTCGGAAACGGTGCGTCCTAGGCCAAAAATAACAAAAAATTTGACACCCCCGTAGACCCCCCGGAGTTTTAAAAAACTAGATGAAAGGAAAAAAAAAACATTTTAAATATCTGTCTCTCCTCTTTGAAGTTTCACTTCTATCGTGTGTGAATCGCACACACACCTTTTTTTTTTATAAAGTCAAAATCAGTGTTGCTAGGGATAAGTATAAAATTAAATAGTAATGTTAGGATATCGAGACATTTTTGTATAGGCCAGAACGATATAGTGGAAACGCGCTCTAAGATCTGAGTAATATACACACCACTACATATGCAAAAATTTCTCGAGACTAATTTCACTGTAATATTTTTTTAAAGACTGCACTTTTCTAACTAGAGCATGGCAAAAGAATTGGTGTTCCTGCTACAGTCTATGAATTTTTTATTGAAAACTATTATGGTGCCACCATTGAAATTTTAGAGCTCTTCTATTTAACCTACTGTTTTCATTACTTACCGTGGTACTTATTGAAAACATCTCTAATAAGTTTGTAATTGTGCGTGAGATTATTGACGATGGCGGCAAGACAGGCGATACAAGACGCTATGACAAGCTGTCCTCGTTGCAGGATGAGCTTGACGGCATCTTCCTCCAGCTGCGCCAGGAATACCTCGCTCGGGTGCTCCATCAAAGGGACCACTAGCTCGAGTGTCGACGCTACAGTCGACATTATTTGTTGCTCGTACTGATTCTATAATTAATATTAATAATTTGAGTTTTATAGTGCATTACATGAGATTTAGGTTTGGTAACCTATGCTCATATTGTGGATATTTACTTTACCTTACGTTTATATTTATATATATTTACCCATACAGTGTTGAGTTAATACTTAACTTATTAACTTTGCGAACTTTGACGCACATACTTATGTGTTTACTTAAAAAAGCATATTATATTTATATTTTTTATAATTATAATAATAATTAATTATTATTACATTCACTTCAAAAACAACATTATTTGTAGTCTCTTTTTACAATACTCGTATCGCTGATTTTACTAGGGTGTAAAAGTGGCGCACATAATATTTGCGTACTTACCTGACATTTTAAACTCAGGTATGGCTGCAGAGTTAAGGCATGATTCACTAACAATTGTGGCCTAATTCTCGCAAATAAATGCAACGTTGACAAACATGCTAGAATGCGTTGTGACGACCCAGTCCCTGCAAAAATATGTATTCATACATTACTGATATATATGGATTTTATATCAGGTTACATTTCTTGATAAAAAAATTATACATTTACCTTCGGCGCTCGTCTCTTCTAATTGAAGTAAACTCTCTATGAGACAGTCTACTATTTGCTGACAAGCAAGTAGTAAGGTTTTGGGAGGTTGATAGATAATTTTTGTTGAATCATCTTTATCTTCTTTAGGTTTGAATAACTGTAAAAAAGACAGTTATTAACAAAAGTTTTTTTTGTTTTCCATATAATTATCGTTACAACACTTACGCTGGTCAATAATTGTTGAAACCATTCCAGACCTATATCCCTGGATGATATAACAACATCTGTGATGTTAAGGACTTTCCTCGTGAGAGGATCAGCTGCAGCCGCAGTCATGTCTAAAGTGCCCGGCCGCGCTGTGTTCGCACATGGACTAAACCACATATTTTGAAAAACTTCCATCACTAATTTCCTTATACCCTCTTCATCATTCACTCTCCTAATCATCTTTACACAAATCTCAGGTATTTTTGGAAACTCTGGGCACTCTATACAAATGTCTTTTAAAATTTTTATCACTCGTTTCCGCACCGAAACACCAGTGTCCTATAAATAAAGCAAGCACGGTATGAAAGACTTAAGATGCATATAACTTCTCCTAATATTTTTTTCACTGTGTTGATAACACTCACCAATATTCTATTTGAGAGCATTCCATAATACTTATCAATGAGATCGGGGCGACTGAGTACGAACTTTCCCACTAAATCGACAGCAGCTTCTCGCACTGCAGTAGACTGATCCAGAAAGGATCGATTAACTCCGATCTGCATGTCGGGTCGCGCCAGCACGGCTGGGTCTGCCTCAACAATCATAGCTAAACATTTCATCGCCTTCGTACGTATCGCTATCGTATTTTCACATAAAATTACAAGTATTTTCCTTAAATATCTATCAAAACTCTGAGAAAACGACCTCTTTGAAGCTAAGTACTGAGAAATGAGCTCTGCACCACTGTAGTCTATGTAAGATTGCATCACTTGCACCTGAGTACCTCCTTGATATCTAAAGGGTCGTATTTTTTCTAGAAAGAAATTTTTTCGCCGCTCAATAGTTTTAAATTTCTCTGCTGATATCAGCGCACTTGAAGCAAGTTTCTTTTCAGACTTGGAATCCTTAATACGACGACTTTCGTCATCGCTGTCATCATCAGCATCTGACTCTTCCTCGCTAGATTCATCTTTGAAACGCCTTTTAGATTTGTTTTTAGCTTTTTTTGTGGGGGACGTGCTTTTGGGTTGGATCACCATATCTCTATACCATTGCGTGATATAGAAGTGTCGTGAACAATTCCAAGCCTGATCTTTTTGACCATTGATGGCCAGATAATCAAGTAGCACTCTCTGGAGGAATTCCGTTCTTTCTTCGTCTTCATCTAGACCCGAGGTAATATTCTAGAACCGAAAAGATTGCGTTAAAATGTATTACAAGTTGCCATTTCGTGAAGTCAGTTAATAAGCCTACTGAGTAACTTCTCTAGTAGCTGTGCTAAAATACACAATCATTAAATTTTAAGTAATGTATACATAAATAAAAACAAACAAACGCGACAAATTTTATAGTATTTATATTGATATTAATCTATATATATATATATATTTATATATATATAGATATTAATCTTTGTGAAAATGTTATTCAAATCTATTAAGTGGAAAAGCATGATTGCGTAAAACTAATCCAAGGAAATTTCCGTTTTTTTTTAAATACTGCTTTGGTTTTGTAAATGGGTTCTAAAATTATGAAAATCGTAAAGTTTAATGAGATTCTCATTAGACTATAAATAAGTTACTTGTGCCAGATTGCCATCTTTCTCCTCCTCAGCTCGTATGTCTCTGACGACAGCGTCCATGGTAGCCAGTTTAGCGCGTGAGTGAACGCTGTCCCTTCGCAGACGTGCAGCTACCAGACCCAAATATTCTAGTGACGCTACACGAACTGACATTTCCATAGATTTATCAGACATGTATTTTACCTAAAAAGTGAAAAAAAAAACATTTTAATTTTATTTAACCATCTGATTTCAACTAAATCATTTCACAGACGCTAAACGATCTCCGTCCTTCATTAGCGTTGCTCTAGGATTAACGAGTGGGCTTGCCGTTAACCTTACAGACAAAAACCTGGGACGGTGACGAAACTAACCCACTAAACTTGCAATGGACATGCTTAAGAAGGAACACCATTGAAATTTTATTCTGTTCTTTTTCTAAGTACAAAATAACTGTAAGGCCTTGCGAAGAGATTCGTGGCTCCATACGATATATCCTACGCTTTAAATCGACATACAATCCCAAAGAGGTTCATTCTTCTTAGATGATGGTTTGCCGACCATTATGCATGAACTTAATGTAGGTAACTCCTTACTGGTTAAATGCTGATAAAATTATGAGTCCGTGGCTCAAAACGAGCCGTACTTATCAAGGTCTTTTTTTAAATATGAGTTCCCAAAAGTGCTTTAAATTAGTAAACATTTTTTTTTAGAATAGATCAACCTGTGTAATTTTACCATACATAGGACAAACTAATACTTACAAGCATTGTTCCAAGTAGACTGAGCAGTAGCTCAGTAGCAGGCCACTCAGGTTTGTTTACAGTGGTAAGCAAATCGTGCACGAAATTTTCGAATAGGGGCCTGAAGTCGACCTCTTCGTTACGACTCCGGCACTTATTCAGGAATGACGTCAGGAATGTACCGCCTACACTAATCGCTGCTTCGTACTTGGATATAATAAGAAGATCTTTATCGACACTCTAGAAAATTAAAAAGAAATGTTAAAAATAACACAAAAACAAATGATATAAATATTAGTGGATGGAGAATCCGTATAAAAACGACAACTTACCTTTTTAGTGTCAGTTGCGTCTGGATTTTTTTCTTTATCCTGTGACTTACACAATGTCTCTGGCAGCGTGACTACGCACTGAACCAACTGCAGCACAAGTGCTGTCAACATTTGTATTTGCTGATCCGAGCTCAGTTGAAACGATCTCAAGTTGTGCTTAGAACTAGGTATGCGGGCTATAGATGCTAAGATATCTTCTAGTAAGAGTCGTCTGTGCTGTTCGTATTTTGTAAATATCTATAATCAACAAAAAATACTTTTGAGATGAGGGGGGAGCAGCCTTAAGGGGGTAGATTAAGTAGTGCAGTAAATCAAGTAGACTGAGGAGAATGATATGATAGAAAGATTGGAGTCTCTTTGTCTTTCACAAAATTCATAAATGTAAAATACTTTCCAATATTACAATATTGTGGATTATGTATTCTACTCACCGTAGTAACAAGCTTAAGAGCGCTGAGTTGCAATTCGCTAACGTTCTCTACAAAAAAAGGCGATACTCCAACAGTGGATGCATGTAGGACAGTAGTATCAGTGAGATGATGCGCTGCGAACAATTCGGCCAGCATTGTGACAGATTCGTGAGCATGCGTGTAAAGTTCTCGTACAGCACGCGTCGATGTCCCAGCAGTCCCACGCTTGGTCACATTGCCGGCACCGCCACCTCGACGTTTACGGCCGTCAACTAACATACAAATAACCTGTATTAAATATACTAATCGATACGAAGGGCATAGTAACTATTGTACGTGTGTCACATTTTTAAAATAGCGGAAATTACTAGCCAAATATTGACTACTAGCTTTTATCCCGTAAATTTCGGTTATCGCAGTAAAAAGTAGCATATGCCTTTCTCAAGAATCAAAGTATCTCCATAACAAATTTCACCTAAATCGCTTTAGCGGTTTTTGATTCCCCATACAAATTTTCACCCTCTTAAAGTATGATTTCTGGGATAAAAACTACCCGATCGCTTTTGCCGGGATACTCTATACCAAATTTCACCTAAATCAGTTAAGCGGTTTAAGCGTGAAAAGGTTACAGACAGACAGACAGACACACTTTCGCATTTATAATATTAGTTATAGGATAGGATATAATAACTTATATGAAACAACAGAAATATGTTTGTTCATTTCTTACTGAGAGCTTTAGGAGCAGATTTAATATTTATATACTTTCACTATTAACTAATATATAAGACGTTAACGTTAATGTCGATATGGCGCTAAATAATATATGATTATTTCTAATAGTCCAACGTGCCAACAGAGATTGCTTTCCCAGCACAGTAAGTTGACCTTCCCTTCCTTCTGATTTCTTCCCTACAGACAGACTAACCATCCGTTCTGTTGTTTGCCATTGAGAATTCCGCAGTGGCCATACCATGCCAAGTAACCAATTGCAAATCCCTGCTGGGTATTTTTTTAAAGGGACTGAGGCATTGGTTTGTTGGTATGGTTGTTTTTTATAGCTATAATAAGAACGATCATATAAGCTTTTATTGCCCCTCCATGCAGACTCCTTCCTCTAAAACCTTGCTTATAAATGTCAAACTACTCTTGCTAATGTGATTTAAATAATAATAAAAATAAAGTATAATGCCATACCTTTCTTTTTAGAAGTACTTTGAATGCTATACACAGGGTCGTAGACACAGTAAATCGTATTATTCAACTGGAATTTTATGAACATAATAATTCGATCTATTACGTCTTCTAGAAATATGCGTTTTGGCATATTCGGTGAAGTCATTACGTAAAGTGATGTTAGACATGCATCTGAAGCACACATGACCCTTTCTAGTGCCGACTCCATCCATATCTGTCGCATTTCTTCACTATCCTCCTGAAAGATTAATAGGAAATTAAAATTCTTAGTGTTCTAAAAGGTAGCTATAATATATGTACAGGCTAATAATACATACAGAATCTACATTTATTTACACAAACGGGCATGTATGCGATTCATGTAGTGGACACGACCAGTGCAAACTGGTGATATTCTTTTATACTTTTCTTTTTAAAAAAGGCAACTCCCGCACTAGAAATATATCATATGTAGCGTCATATTTATACTCATAAACTTGTATTAATAAAAAATAATAAATAAAAATATGTATAAAATTATTTTGTAACAAACGGACGAACAAAAGCAACGTTGTTATTAGTAGCGAGTGCGAGGAGCCGAACGTATTATGCGGGCGCGCAGGATCGCGCGAACGCCGCGCTTTGGAGTCAGTCGATCCGTAACCTTGCGACGCGATACCGATACCCAACGCTCCCGATACGCTCGGGCCCCCGCACTACGCGCTAAATGTTAAATGTTCTCCTTTGCCTGATCACTTGCTTGTACTCCTTCTGACTTCTCTCAATTTTCCGTAACTCTGTGCTTGTGTAACGCCTAAATTGTAACTTAGCTTAACAAATTATACTGACGGTGTTCAACAGTGTATGAATTGTTTTTCTTGTGTACGCCCTCATTACCTACACATATATACATTAATGAAACGGACGCAAAAACACCCAGATTCAGAACAACAATTTTTGGATCACACAGCCTTGTCCTATGTGGGGATTGAACCCATAACACTCAGCGCTATAGCAAGCGGCGCGATGACTTGTTAAACCACTACGTCATCATTGCAGTAGAATATAGTCAGTTCGAAGGCATGTATTACCTATCACTGTTAATTCCCATATTACTAATTAGATATACTGGAAAGCGAAATTTTAAAAGTACATACGGGATCTCCCACCAATGACATTTTCTCCGCCGCTCTAATATTTTTCTCCATTAGACTTAGTAATCTTACTAATCTGTCTGAAGGTATAGCTTCCATAGCACCTAAATTCTTTAACTTAGCTGCTTCTGAGCATAACTCTTGAAGTTGATAACGTGGTAATAATAATTCCTCAGGTATGTCTGTTCCCTCTGTAACGTAACGCCGCAGTCAGTGTTTTTGGTCAAATGAATAATATCAAATTGAGGAAACCTTAAGTATGATGCTTACCCATTTCGTCAGTTACTATAACGTCATCGTCAATAGTTTCGAATACTGATTCTATCAATTTATTAAACCGTTGATACGTATTTGTCTCCATTAATTCGTCTACTGATAGCATTTCTAACACAGGTACTAATCTCCTCTCGACTTTCCTTAACTTTGGCCGCACTGTAAATTTTCAAAACAAAATCCTTAATGACATTTCAAATCAGCTCCGACAATTGTATAATACAAGCAACAGGTATAGGATTAAAAATAATACCATAAAAGTAAATGAAAGGAATGGAAAAGGCTGGTGTCCAACACACCCAGATATACAGCTTTATTCAAAGGCACTTTTTAGAGCACATTATACAATTCAAAGCTGCGACTATTGCCTGCGGCTCCACCTGCGTGTATAATTGACATACACGCGGACAAAAGATAGTCTAAGCTAAAGCAATTTTGAAGATATTGCGAAAGAAGATATTGAAGTATTAGGGCTATTGTTGTACAGTTGGACTTTGTTGGTTAACTAAAGCAAATAAATATATGCATATATTACCTATTGCAGCTTCAGCTTCCTCCCTTTTACTGGCTTCTTCATGTTTTCTTTTAACAGCTTCCCAGTTCTTCTCTCTAGCTATGTCAATCGCTTCTCTTTCCTTATCTACAGTTGGTGTATTACTACTAGTTTTCGGCTTTAAAGGGACATTGTCATCAGAATCAGATTCCAATGTGCTATTTTTTCTTGATCTCTCATCGGTTGGGAAATCGTGTTTCTTCAGCAAACCTTCCTGCATGTGGAAACTTTCTATTTTTATACGTGAATTTATTATTTTTTAACACTTGTTTGGGAATACTCACACACTAGACCATCATATTAGCACGAAAATAGGTATTTAAGCTAAACTAATGTTTTATCTCGTAACATCAGACACTATCATCACAATACATCTTCAGTATAGGATTAAAAACTGTATGTATGAATTTGGAAACTGGATTAAAGAAAATTAATAATTATTTAGTAATGCTAATTTGACTACTTACCGAGAGGCGACCAAGTTTAACTACAGGATATCTGTTATTCATTCCTCCCACACTTTTATTTGGGTCTTGTTTGTCTTGACTACAGTTCTGCATTGACTGTTGCGGCGCGTATGGGGCACCCATAGACGGTTGAGGCACTTGAGGTTCTTGTCGTAATGGTGATGGAGCCACACTTGCTTGAGCTGGAGATTGGCCTGTCACTACATTACCATCTGTAATGAAAAAGGGTATGTTAGTAAAATATATATATATAAATAAGTTCAAGTGTTGGTACTAAATGTAATTAAATGTATGTTACATTGTGTATTTAAAAAATTCAAAATCTTGATATCATGTTAAAGTTTTTTTTCGATAGTAATATTCAGTTAGTTTGAGATAGTACATACCTTGTTCAAATGCCTTCTCTTGTGATTGTATAAGTAACCTCTGTGGATCACTTTGATTACTTGGTGACAGTGGATCTTTCTCTTCATTTAAACTAGTGCCGAAATTTCTATTATCTCCTACTAGACTATTATAGAATCCCCCATTTTGTGGATTTGAACAAGATGTGTTCGAGAGAGGGCTTGTGTAAATGTTAGAAGAGTTTCCACTGTTCCAAATAGGTGACACACTATTCTGAGCAGTAATATTTACTGCATTTCCAGGCCTAGCTTGAGAAGGAGGAGAGCCCATATTTACATGGGGAGATGACTGACATGGAGGAGCTAGCAATTGCTGATTTGGAATGGATCCTGAATGCACCGCTGTACCTAGTGATGAAGGACTTGACGGCACATTACCATGTGTTGAATAATTGTATTGAGAAGCTGAAGGGGACATTCCATTGAACTTAGATGTGTGTAAATGATTGCCCCAATGATTTCTCTGTTGTTGATCAAATACATTAGGATTTACATGTAAAATGGCCTTTAACAGTTCCGGTGTAGCTTGTTGTGGGGCTGGACTCACTGCATTTGGTATGCTTTCATCTTTTAGGTCTCTGAAAATAAGCAATGGTATAAACAATCAAATATGTTGTTTTTAATGTTTATATTTCAAATATTTGTGTTAATGCAAGCACAGGGACTGTGAAGTTAAAAAGCATACAAATGCAATATCTGAATAGTTGACACATTTATTTTTCATCGATTTTCATTAGTTAAAACATTACTAGGAGTAAAAAACCAAGTGCATTACATATGTTGTACTGAAGTCTGCATGAGAGATTGAAGTAGCAGTGTCACTAAATTATCATCACGTGTCGCAAGAAGAATGGCAGCCTCTTCTGCAACCCGTGGATGAAATAACTGTGACTTGTTGTTTAGCGTTGATGGCAATGGAGTGGGAAGTGGTAACACTGGTAATACTGTAAACAAAATTACAAAATGATGACACCAAGATATCATGATTAAAATGAAATAACTAAATAGGATTAAATACCATATTATGTAATATATCAGAAGAAGTCATAAAAGAGGTAGTATATTAATAAATCAACCATTTAAAATCGCAGTATGATTAAGGTTTATCACAGCCCAAAAATATTTTATTATAAATAGGTACAGACAGGACCATACATATAATCTAAAGGTATTTGCAGCAGTCTGCCAACATATTTTCAAATCAGAGATAAAAAATATTTTACAATTTTATTATTTATTATATATTGGCCTTCCTGTACACACTGACTATGCATTTTGGCCTCATTCTGCACAACTCAACAATGTCTTTTTACACTACAGCCATGCTAAAAAATGAAAAGTGCCACGAAAGATGCTCAAAGCCTTGCCCAGGTGCAGTCTTAATAAAGTAACGAAGTCAGAATTAAAAACATTAAATGTGACAGAGTTGTGGTGATCGATTAAGAATACGGAGTGTCACCACCCCTTTTCATCCCATGGGTGTCATAAGAGTCAACTAAGGGAGCAAACTATACAAGACAACAGTACTGCAAAGAGAAAGAAACTTTGAAACAAACCTTATACCAATGGCTAGCATGGTATAGTAGATCAAAACCTCCTTTCTAAGGAGGGGCCTATGTCCATGGCATGTCTAGAAGCAAAAGCAAATAATCTCAAGCAAAAACTCAAGAATTAATGTAATGGATAGTTTGGATCTCACATCAATTATTTTAGAAAAAAAGAGGGCACAGAGATGCACAGGAATGTGTAAATTTATTTCTGAACCAGACTTGCCTAAAAGAACAATAATTCAAATCTTTAACATTGACTGTGAGTAGTTGTAGGGGGTTATAATTTCACATCACACATCACATCAACAGCCTTTAATAGTCCACTGCTGGACATAAGCCTCTCCTTAGAAAGGAGGTTGTGGCCTACTATTACCTAATTCCAACATTTAGTAAAAACTGACTATCTACATACATTATGTATGACAAGTGTCACTCATTGCATTGTACATATGTGAGAAAATGGTATCTGCAAATGCACTATTCCCATAGAATTTAGTTTTTCACCTACTGTGAAAGATTTCTCAGTATGTGGTTCATAAAAATGCGAAAAGTAGCCAGCCATTGGTCAACTTCAGTTAGTCTTTAACTATTCATATTCTTTGATTGGTACTGTTTGAGAAGATTGGATACTACTATACATATTAGGTACTTTTATATTTTAAAATGTTCACATTCCAGAGTAACAAAACTTATTTTAATCATATCAAAAATCTAGAAATCTTTCAGAAATCTAATATCACTTAACATAACACAGATGAAATATGTTGATTCATGTACACATTTTAAGGAATCATATTTGAGAATGGTGCTAATTCTGTTGTTTGAAACCTAACTAAACTAAAACCACAAAAAATTAGTTTAGTCCTGTCAAGTACTACATTTTCAGAATACGAAACATTATTTGACAGGACTAAACCAATTTTTTGTGATTTTTATTTTAGTTTAGAGAGTTTTCGAACAACAGAATAAGCACCAATGTCCGATTTTTTATAGATAGATTTAAATTGTTATTAGAGAAGAGTAGGAGAAAGAGTAAAATGTTTTTGGAAGATTTCTTTGGCCCTGACTGTGCCAGTAAAAGTGGTTAACTGGAAAACTGGAAAAGTTTTTGCATAATAAAGACTATTGACTTATTGTTATAAAGGAAGTTAAGAACACTTAAAATTAATATGTTTATTAAAGAAAACCAGATAAAAGGTTATTTATTTTGTAAATATACATACAGAGGATACTCTGTAATTATGGAACCCAAAAAATATGTTCTTTACGAGGGGTGATCAATAAGTAATGATAATCAATATGAAACAGAACTATTAGATTAAAAAAAGTATTTTATTTTTCAACATAGTCTCCTTGCAAGTTAATACATTTAGTGTATCTTTTTTCTAAGCCCATGATTCCCTTAGAAAAAAATTCTTTGTCTTGACCCTCCAAAAAACGCCTCTACTGCGGCCATCACTTCACTATTGTCCTCAAATTTGTTGCCCCGGAGGTGTTCTTTGAGCCGAGGAAAGAGGTAGAAGTCACTGGGAGCTAGATCTGGCGAATAGGGAGGGTGTTCGAGCAGTTCGAACCCTGTTTCTTCAATGGCAGCCATCGCAACTGCGGCTTTGTGAGCCGGGGCGTTGTCTTGGTGAAACAGCACTCCAGCGCGCAGTTTACCGCGTCTTTTTGACTTAATAGCTTCTCGCAATCTTCTTATTTGGCCTGCGTAGTAAGAGCCTGTTATAGTGGCCCCCTTTTCCAAATATTCCATCATAATAATTCCTTCTGCATCCCAGAAAACAGACGCCATAACCTTTCCCGCTGAACTTGACACTTTGAATTTCTTCGGTGTTGGTGAGGAAGCTCGTTTCCAAGTCATTGATTGTTGTTTGGTTTCGGGATCAAAGTGGTGGATCCAGGTCTCGTCCATGGTCACAAAACGCGACAAAAAAAAATCTTTATCGGCCTGGAACTTTTGAAGATTCACCCTCGAAATGTCGACTCGTTTCTTTTTTTGCTCGTCGGTTAACATTCTCGGTACCCAACGCGCAGAGACCTTTTTCATATGCATTTTGGTGATAATGATTTTTTGAACGCTGCCATAGGAGATCCCTGTGACCTCAGCTACATGCCTTACGGTCACGCTTCGATCGGCCAACACGATATCTTCCACTTTTTTGACGTTTTCTCCAGTAAGGGACGTGGAAGGGCGTCCCTCGCGATGTTCATCTTCAGTGGAGGTTCTGTCCAGCTTAAATTCCTTTGCCCAGCGTGCGACTGTGGAATATGGAGGAGCAGACTCCCCCAATGTTTCCTCTAAGTCGCTGTGTATGTCTTTGGTAGACATTTTTTTCAGGCAGAGGTACTTGATGACAACTCTTATTTCATTTTTCTCCATTTTGATGTTTTCTCTTCGACAGTTCGTATTCAAATGAATGTATCTCCCGGTAATGGTGTCCTATTTATACATTTTTTTGAAGCTAAAGTAGTGGATATATAAGCAAGCAGAAAAAAAATAATTTGGGTTTTTGTGCGTTCTAGAAATACTCGATTATCATTACTTATTGATCACCCCTCGTACACTGAATTTTTATATGAATTGTGAGATCTCATTTATTTACACAATAAAGTTTCATACTAGATGCATTAAACCTACTTTTAATAGACTTTCTAAAGTGCCTCAGGGTCTTTCTCCATAGTCTGATTAAACACATCTACCATATAGCCAGAGAGCCTTCAAAACTTATTCAGTTGACTTTTCAGTATAATTGGGATGAAATATATCTTATTTATACAATAAACTATTTCAGTGCTCCACATTTCTAAACTTTTTTTATAAAACTTTTTAAGGGTCTTGTATGTTTTTGTAAAAATAGGTTTATTTACTAGCGTCACCTATATTACTTCAAGCCTTTTTGACTTCCTCAAATCTTAGTTTTTCTTTCAAAGTTTATAAACATTTTAAGTCATAGTTTATAAGTTTACATAAATTACAACATCAATTATATTTTAACTATGATTAGTATACTTTCAGAGTACAGCAAGAATCATGTAAATTTATACAAAACCATTCTTTTAAAATAATACAATTAAGAAGACAATGATTATTCTTATTTTAAATGAAGGAAAATCTAAGCATATAAATATTGATACTACAAATCAGCAAAATCGTATATATAGGTACCTACAGATGATATTCACTATAAAAGATGTGGTATTCAAAACAATTTTCAATTTGTTTTCATAATTCACAAATATCACCAATATTGTAAACAAAATTGAGGCTTGCTTTACCTTATACCAAAACTGCCAATTTAATTGTTGATGATGCCTATTTACTGTAAACTTTAAAGCTGAAGGCTAATTTACATTTTAATGAAAAATAACTGCAAAAATAACTATAATACTGGAAAATGAACTTGGCACTACAAACAATGTATTCCATAACTTCAGTGACTTAGTTGTTTTGACATGTAAATATGATTCGTCGAAAGTATTTAGCTAATGTTGTTCACATACTTACAATCTGTCAAGCTGGCTACTCCTGCTAATGTTGTAATAGGGACACTTGGGATATCCCTTTCATTCATCTTGATTATACAATTTATTTTCTCAGGTTCATTAATATTTTCCTAGAAGTTGAAAAGAAAGCTTTTGCTGTGGTACTATAAAACACATACAGAATTGTTTGCGTAGTCGTCCCTTCCATTATCATTTTACTTTCCACTCACGTTACACTTAGCACAAAAAATATTTTACATAATTGGTTAGTGACATATTAAACCCAATAGTTTCACTAACAATTAAAGTAACATCGAAATCAAATATTGTTGTGAAAATGGGGCAGCCGTCACTTTGATGCTTTGTTGTGCGTTGTGCATCAAAACGAAGGTCAGCGCATCTATACGACACTCCCATCAACAACTGAGAAAAGTAGTTTGTTGAACACTAAACCATATTTAGATTTAATATATAACGAATACTCACTGAAACATTATGATATCTATGTCTAATTTATTTATCCAGGACAAATCAAACATAATCCCAACATTTAGATAATCAAGAAATTGTGAATTGGTGTTGCCAATTAAATGTAAGTTTCACTACATGACGCTAAAAATGTTGTATTAGTACGATCCCAATTTAAAATTTTCATAAAAGTAAATATTTATAAGATTTCACATTTTCCACACTCCGAAAAACGGGATTATTAAAATTGTCAGCGTTACACTCTTCCAATATTTAAAAAAAATCTATTTAAAATAACACTGGATAAGTGGATACTGGAGGCTTATTAGTTAGTTTAGTAGGTTCAAATCGAAAATTGACATACCAGATGAAAAAATCAATTTTCGAATGGAAGAGATATCTGATGAGAAAACATAGAAATGTTTAAAGTTCAATCATTTCTAGTAGTAATCTATCAATTTAAAAAATATAATATATATATATATTTTTTACAACAGCACAGCCCAGCCCAGAAATCGAAAATTAGACATTTTATTACTATTATTTTGAAAATGTAATCGTGCAAAATTGTGTGTATTTTACAATAGCTTGTTAATAGCTACAAAACACACAATAAAAGGTGGGTAAATTGTTTGAGAGGGTTCTCTCTGCCCGCATCGTCCGGCACCTCTACGAGGTGGGCCCCGATCTGTCGGACGCCCAATTTGGTTTTCGGGCGGGGCGTTCGACAGTCGACGCTGTGTTGCGCCTGAGGGTCGTGACCGAAGAAGCCGTGAGCTGTGGCGGCGTGCTGTTGGCAGTGTCATTGGACATCGCCAACGCATTCAATAGTCTGCCATTCAGCTGCATCAGGGAAGCTCTCCACTATCATGGGGTGCCAAAGTACCTGAGGCGGCTAGTAGCAGACTATTTAGAGGAGCGTACCGTCGTGTACGAGGACCGAGAGGGTAATTCGAGGTGTCGGCCCATGTCGTGCGGTGTTCCACAGGGGTCTGTTCTTGGACCCCTCTTGTGGAACATAAGGTACGACTGGGCCCTTCGAGCCGATTTACCCCCCGGGCTGGGTGTAATTTGTTATGCAGATGACACTCTGGTGACAGCCCGGGGGGCGAACTTCCAAGAGGCGGCGCGCCTGGCCACAAGGGGAGTCTCCCTGGTGGTCGGGCGCATTGAGGCGCTGGGCTTACGGGTGGCCCTAGATAAGACGGAGGCCCTGTTATTTCATGGGCCCCGTCGTGGTCCACCCCCTGGCACCTCAATCGTGGTCAACTCGGTCCTCGTACCGGTTCGGGCCCAGATGAAATATCTGGGCCTGATCCTCGACGGGAGGTGGCTCTTCGATGAGCACTTCCGACAGCTTGCTCCAAAGCTGGTCGGCGCTGCGTCTGCCCTAGGGCGACTTTTGCCCAATTTGGGTGGACCCAGCGTCGCGACAAGACGGCTGTACACGGGGGTTGTCCGGTCAATGGCGCTATACGGTGCACCGGTGTGGGCGGCGGCTCTGACCGCCCAGAATAGGGCACGCCTCTGGCGCCCTCAGATGATAATGACGGTCAGAGCCATACGCGGTTACCGCACCGTTTCGACGGAGGTGGCGTGCGCGTTGGCCGGAACTCCCCGTGGGATTTGGAGGCGGAAGTGCTCGCCGAAGTTTAGTGGCTGACTCCCGGGCGGAGAGCGCGCCCGCTCCGCCCGAAGACGTGCGCGAGTGGCGCGAAGCCGCTCGCCCAGCCACGATGGCTCGTTGGTCGTTCCGGCTGGAGACTCCACGCGCTGGCTTCGCCGCCTTGGAGGCTCTCCAGCCGGTCATCGCCGAGTGGGCAGGGCGGCAGCACGGGACCCTTACCTTCCGGCTGACGCAGGTGCTTTCCGGGCACGGTTGCTTCGTTAGGAGGGAACTGAGTCCCGCCTGCCACCACTGCGACTGCAGTGAGGACTCGGCCCAGCACACGCTGGCGGTCTGCCCCGCATGGGCGACGCAGCGCCGGGCCCTCACTGCAGTCATCGGAGTGGATCTCTAGCTACCGGCCGTAGTACGCTTCATGGCCGGTAGCGACAGTTGTTTTACAGCGGTCGCAACCTTCTGCGAGGAAGTAATCTCGCAGAAGGAGGCGGCGGAGAAGGCCCGGAAGGACGACCTCCACTCGGACCCGATCCGCCGCCGGCGAACCGGGCGGCGGAGGCGCGCCTATCACCGCCTCATGCCGCCCTGAGTGTGGCCGCGGGTGGACGGGGTGGGTTTCCCCTCCACCCGCATTAGTTTGGCCAGCCGCGAGTGGGCGGCGTCCGCGTGTGCCGGACGTCGCCTAAAGAGAGGAAAATTTTGAGACGGGGCCCGCAACAGGAGCGGGCCGGCGCTAGGAGGGGTCCGGATGTCTTAATAACAGCTGTTCCCGGATCCCTCCTATTACAGGCGCAGAGTGGCACACCGTGTGGTTTTACTCGGTCCGAGTCCGACACACCACCCCGCCTCAAACCCCGGTGGGGTGACGGTCCGAGGGGATTTCCACACGTTAAAAAAAAAGAAAAAAAAAAAGGTTTGTGTCAAGTTTTCCTTCTCTCTGCAGTGCTGTTGTCCTGCGTAGTTTGCTCCCTTAGTCGCCTCTAACGACACCCACGCAGATGTTTAGGCAAATTATAGATAGGGCACACTGCATTAAGTTTCTTATAAATAGATGCACCAAGGGAGGTTCTTTTTAAAAAAAAAGTTGAGCCAGCAACAATCCCTATTGCACAAATTCGGTCTTTACGACGTTTGTTAATCGGTAAAAGCGGTGTGAGACGGTGTTGTAATCCTGCTAGATGTAATATAAATAGTTGTCTCACACTTAGTAAATTGCACTGCTTATAGAGCTCGGTTGTTAGAAATAAAATAGGCCTGAATGTAGCAAATTTTTAAAATAGCACGAAGTTATTTCCATTACTTACAATTGGTTTGGCTGCACCTCCCCAGCAAGGAATACAATAAATTATTATGGATTGAAAGAGTGCGTAATACCCGTTACGGATGATTGTTGGATTTTAGAATTAGTTCATAGTTTATACCACAGATTAACAGATATGTACAATGTACATCATAGTAGTTCGTACCGATTTAAAAATATGAAGTAGAAACTTTTGTTCTCTCACCATTAATAGAAAGTATCATTTTCGCCTCGTGCTTAAAAAAATTGTGCACAGTTACGTTCTCACGCAATTATCAAACAGAAATAATATGAATGGAGAGAGTATAGCTAGTTTCAAAATATTATTTAAAATGTAAGGTCTTAGATCCAAATAACTGATTTCGTAAATGCAACTTTGATCATACTTTAGTTTTAACACGTCAAAGTCCAAAAGATTTGGTCATACAGGGTCATACATATTCATAATATTATGTCACTAAATAGTAGACATGGAAATTATTGCTACTTTTAAATTTTATTCATTTTATTGATTATTTTAATACATATTATTATTGATTTGGTCACTGTGATTTCACCGGTGATAAATCTCTGCTTAGATTTAGTCATAGAACAATATTAATCCCGTCAAACTCAATTAAACCGACCTTAATTTTTTTAGATTTAGATCTTTCGCGTTTGCGTAAATTAGTCTCAGCGATGTTGTAGACGAGTCACAAGTGTAATGAAATGACTTTAACATCATATGATTAATTGCAGGCGATTGCGGTTTTATCCCATGTAGTGATGAGCAAGTGAAAAAAATATATCGATATTTATCGTATCGATATTTTTAAACAGTATCGATAATTATCGAGTGAAAAATAACGATATATCGGCTGTTTTTGCATGATTATTCATACATATTCTATGAAAAATATATTCTAGATGAGTGATATTTATCTTTAGAGCTAAATGATATGTATTTATCTTTTCAGCTCAGTGATACATTTTTCGCATCACTAGAAATAAGTGTGTTTGTGTTTATGTATATCCGAGAGAAGTTCCGGTCCGCTTTTTTGGTGGCACTGTCAATATGCATGTATAGACCTTTTCATTTTCAGTGCACATGTCTCAATTTCCCTCATGTTTTTCGGACTGTTTATACCTCTATTTAGCGTGCTGCGCAATTTGTATGAAAAGTGTCCGATACTTTTGAATGGCCGCTTTTAAAACATGGTGGATGCACTCTGAACTTGTTGTGAAAAGGGCTATTTACTTCTCATGATACATAAATTAGCCGACGTCTAATAATTTTTGAAAATTTTTAGAACGATAAATTAAGAAAAAAAAAATTAAAATAAAATTGTATTCATAGTTTACATAATTTACTACTACATGTCCAAAAAATTTTTTACGAATTCGAATTTGATACGAATTCGATACTCTAAAATAAATATCGAATATCGATATATCGCGATTAAAAATTTTGACGATAAAATGGAAAATTGTATGGAAAAAATCGAAATTATGATATTTCGATTTTTTTGTCCATGCCTAATCCCATGACCATATAGTCATTATTTTGCGTGTGTAATGTTCTGTCGTCTGAATAATTCTTATCTCTAAGTTACTTAAACTTACACATATATAAGAAGTTTCATACAATTTATAGCTTATAGTCTTATTAGAGTGATCGTTCGAAGTTGGTCTCTAAGAAATAATAACGAGAATTGAATTATTGGTGAAAGAAAAACAACATTAGATAAACTTGTTTAGCCGGTTTTTTAATGCGTAATTAGACAGCTTGGCCGCAGCTAACGTATACCAACTCGACCAACCGTCACGATGAACTTGCATAGTAATGCAGTTGGGTCACTTACTTGGTATCTTAAGTACGTTGGTGTAACATTGACCATTGGCCTAACTATGTGTAAATTTTTTGACTGTATTGTACGAAAGAAGAGGAGAGCTGCATTACAGGGAAAGGTACTATCTTTTTAATTGAAAATCGATAACTACATTTATACTGAACTGTCCTAAATTTTGTGTTTTTCATAATTTAAGTTAATGTACTGTAGTTTGAATATTAAAGTTATAAACTTTCAGGTGGTAGTTATTACAGGTGCAAGCTCTGGAATTGGTGAAGCTCTTGCACATGTATTTTATGATAATGGAAGTAAAGTTGTTTTAGCAGCACGCAGAATAGCTGAATTGGAAAGGGTCAAGCAAGATCTGATTAACAAAAAGCTGGTACCTAAATATGTTATCATCATCATCATTTTGGATGCTCTTTTTTCATTGTCATAATTTTAACCATAAATAGTTGAAAGTATATATAAATAATACTTTTCAGTCTACACCAACATTAGAACCCGTTGTAGTAGAGTTGGACCTGGCAGATTTTGAAAATTTAGAACAATTTGTTCAAAAGGTATATGATCAATGTGATCAGATAGACATTTTGATAAACAATGGTGGTGTGTCCCACCGTGGTTCCATATTACATACAAAAATTGAAGTTGACAGAAAAATCATGGCTGTCAATTATTTTGGAGCTGTTAGTTTGACAAAAGGTATTATTCATTGAGTTAAAACGTTTTATAATAATCTTATATTACTTTTATGTAAAACAAGTTCAATGTTTCAGCATGTCTATCAAGAATGGTAGAGAAAAAGTCGGGACACATTGTGTTTATAAGTTCAGTTCAGGGATTGATTGCAATTCCAGACCGATCGGCATATGCAGCTTCTAAACATGCTATGCAAGCATTTGGTGACTGTCTGCGTGCTGAAGTGCATCAGCACAATATCAGTGTAACAATGATCAGTCCAGGTTACATTAAAACTGCAATATCATTAAATGCTTACACTGGATCAGGTGATGCGCATGGAGGTAAGGATAATAAATTGATTGATTAAATTTTTCAGCAGAGCATAATTGATTGTGATTAACAGTGTCCTTAATTAACACCAAAATATAAGATACATCTAGTTTTAATTAATATTTCGGAATAGAAAAGTTTTCTGAATTGGGCTTCACAACAAATTTGTAATGTCTTGGAACTTTTGCCACAGTTTCTTTATAAATCTAATATACAGTTACAACATGGATTTATTAAATATGTATTTATTTCCTACAACATACTATATTTTTCAAAGATGTTACTGCTTTAATTAACATCAGGTTAGACAAACATTAGAAAAATTATAACAATACAAAATATTTATGTGCAAACATGTGCCTAATTACTGTTAAAATTATTTAGCCAAAATCATCACATTGTTTTTCCTATATCAATTTCTTATAAATTATCAGTTATATTCAATTAATCTTGTAGGTTACTATTAAATGCAGACTTGCCTTCAACGTTTTTTCATAATTAATATTATATTTTAAAGGTAAAGGTACTTTCAGATTTATTTGTAGAACACATATTGGACAAAATAAACGAAAATAAAAAACATTTATACACTCAGACATATGTTTTACGCATTGCCATTATGCTACACAACAGTTGTGTTTTCAGAACTCTCGAACAGAATACAAGGGGTGTGGGTTACGGCATTGCTGTGCGTTTTATACACAATGTGGACTGTTCACAATACTCTAAAAACACACTATACATTAATTAGTTAGCAGTCTTTGGTTGTTTCTTTTATATTTTAGGCAGCAGTGAAGGTGTTATGATTATTTTCAGTGAAAGTAACAAGTAAGTAAGTCACATAAGCCTTAGCACACGCCTCTTAGTGCGGAGCATAAGACACAACCGTATTTGTAGATATGGAAAACGCAGTTAATCCTGAAGATCCTGATCAGGATAATCGGGCGAATCTATCGAATTATTGTATTGTCATCGTTCCTTGATAAGTGTGCGAAGTTTCAAATGAAGTGTTGAAGTAGGAAAACCAATCAAGCTAATATAAGCGTGTTAATAAAAATGTTAAGTTGGTTCGTTACGTTCGGAGGCGGATTAAGTATCCTGATCGCCTACATTGTAATAACTTAAAATTTTAGTTGGCATTTCATTACTATAACTTTTTCATTTTTTTTGTGTGGACACATAAGCTGTCACTCCACCGGGGTTTGCGGTGGGGCAGTGTATCGGAATCGAACCGACACAAACCAACTGCGCATGAAATAGGAGGGATCCGATAACAGCTTTTATTAAGATTACTTCTTTTTTTTTGGTGATTGTTGGCCTCACCTGTCTTCCCTAGGCTAGCACTTATGCAGGACGCAGGTCATTTAGCGACCTGGTACCGGACCGAGCCGCCTACAGTACCTGGCCCTTCTCCGGGACTGGCGGACCGGGAGAGTTCTAAGCCTCTTCAGTAAGTGCCCTTTCCGCCCTCTACTCCTCGAGCATAACCTTTACCGGGCCGCCGCTGCTCCACACACGCCGGGCATTCTAGCAACGCGAGGAGTGCCGTGTCTACTCTGGTCACTGCAATGGTGGCACCTAGATCTCCTTTGTCAGCCGGTATGCGATTTTTGGAGTCCCGGGTTCCCGAACCAGCACGAGCCACAGATACCTCATCGAGGGCTCGAGTGCGGGTGCTTCCTACTATGAGGCTGGATCCCTCAGGTGGCCCCCTCTAAGGCTCATAAAAAAAAACGTGTGCGTCTCGGGATGCCCTACAGAAGTGATAACTTAAACTAATCTAAGTTAAACTATTTAATATTGAAATTGTTTAACTTGAGAAAAGCTTAGGAATTTTATGTAAAGCGTCTGTCCGAAATAAGGCTAGCGCTGAGGGTTAGAGTGAGAGAGGAGTAGCCTGCCTACCGCTGCCGTATGCGTGAGAGAAAGAGAAGCAAGATAGACTGGCGCCGTAACGCGTTACGTAACGAAGCGGTTTACCCTCCAATAAGAAGTTATCACTTCAACAAGGCCTCAGATTTATGCAGATACATCTCGAGACCCAGCCGCCGGATCCTACGGTGCGCCTTACCGCCCGCTACCGCGTCACGAGCGTGTAGTCCGAGTAGCACGTGAGGGCACCGCAGAGCACACAGTTGTAGCCGATGTTCCACAGGAGAGGTCTTAACACCGACCCCTGCGGAACGCCGCACGACAGTCACGCTCGAGTCCGGTCTTACCTGGGTAGATGACGGCTCCGGACAGGGTTCTGGGTCCGGAGCCGCCGGTTAAGAAGGGCCTAACCTACCTTCAAAAGCGCTGCGCACTACCGTCGGGGAAAACTCTCATTTAGAAGACGTCCGACGAGGACGCCACAGAGTAATAAGACAACTCATAGAGTAATCTCACCTTACCTCCCCACCTACGAGGGTGGTCTGAAAAGTTTTCGACCTCAACACGAAGATGGCAGCACTCGCAAATAAAAGCTAGTGAATTTCGTTGTTCATCTGTTGACAGTTACTCGCCAAAGTTTCAGCCATTTTAAACGCGCAGTTATGAAAATGAGCAAAATCGAGTATTGAGCTGTCATTATATATTTGTTTTTGAAAGGCAATACGCCTACGCAAATCAAAGATGAGTTGGATTCTGTGTATGGGGATGAAATTTTGGGCAGCTGAATATAAACGTGTCCGTAAGAGACGGGAGACGATGAACTTTCGGGACGTCCAAAAACTGCAACTACCGACGAAAACATCGCCAAAGTTCACCAAATGGTTCTAGACGACCGCCGAATTAAAGTGAGAGAGATAGCAAAGGTAATGAACATGTCAAAAGAACATTTTTGTCACATAGTAAATCAACATTTAGACATGAGAAAGCTGTCTGCGCGTTGGGTGCTGCGTTTGCTCACGTTAGACCAAAAACGTGTTCGAATGAACATTTCGCAATAAATCCGAGTTTTGGCGCCGAATAATTACTGTAGATTAAACTTAGATACACTATTATACGCCCGAAACAAAAATACAGTCCAAACAGTGGACTGCAAAGGCGGAACCGGCTCCAAAAAGGAAAAACTATTTTTTCGGCTGGGAAAGTGATGGCGACTGTTTTTTGGGATAGTCATGGAGTTATTTTAATCGATTATCTCCAAAAAGGAAAAACCATTACAGGAGCATACTACGCATCATTACTTGACTAGTTGAAGGCAGAACTTGCGGAAAACGGCCAGATTTGCAGTAAAAGAAAATCCTGTTTCACCAGGACAACCCACCGTTTGACACCTCAGTGGTTGCCATGGCGAAAATCCACGAATTACGGTTTGAACTGCTTGACCATCCGCCTTACCAGATCTATCCCCAAGCGACTTCTTCGTGTTCCCTCATCTACATATATCATCAGCTGGAAGAACTTATAGAATTGACAACAAACGAGGACATAAAAATCAAGTTCAAAAATGACTACCAAGAATTTTGGCTACAAAAACAATTGTACCCTGGATTGTGGTCCCGCAATTGTACCCTGGTCAATCGTTCAACGATTTTTGATAGCATTCCCATCTTCATATTTGTGTGAACGTGGATTTAGTGCTGTGGCAACGTTGCTTACTAAAAAGAGAAATCGTTTGCATGTTACCGAACGTGGCGACTTGCGGCTGTTCTTGAGTAAATTGGAACCTGATATCAAAAAACTTATTAAACAGTATCAGATTCATCCTTCACATTCGTTTTTATATAAGAAACGATTGTTTGTTTTATTTTGAATAAAAGATACTCTGTCTGAATACTATAAAGTTGAGTTTCAATAATCATTCTCATTGGCAGGTGTAGCCCGTAAGAGTCAACTTGAGACCTGTTGCTGTTGTGTACTACCTACTGCTTTCAGGTCTCAAGTTAACTATTGCGGGTTTTAGTGAAAGTCTCGTTTAGAATGAATGTTTAATCTCCGCTAATAAAGCTCACAATAATAAATTAATTTAATTTGAAGTTATAGTGGTTTTTAAGTAGGTGAAAAAATGGGACAGTAGATAAAATAAGTTTGGAACTAATAATCCTGATACTTACAGCGCTAGATAGCGCTGCAAGTAACGCTTAACTGATACTGGAATATTCTTATTTGTCTGGAACTGGAAAAATTCGATAGCTCTATAAAAGGAGCGTGTTGGACGTAGGACACAGTATCGTTCTACGACACAGAGAATTAACATCAAAGTGAATTTCTAGTGCGACTTACAAGTTATATAGTGATTTCTTGTAAATACAGTGAAATAAAAGTAAATAACAGACAACTTTTATTTATTGTATACCCTGTTCGTAACACTATTTTACCAAACTTAAACTTTATTGTGACCAAGCTTTCAGATTTCCAGTTACATTTTGTTCTTAATCTTGTAATCGTATTGTTATTAGACTTTTTGTTACATTTTGTTGTTAATCTTGTCGAAAATAGATACACATATACATTATATATAATTACAATTCTGAATTAAAAACACGGATTCTTATTACTAATTGTTCGTAGCCGTTTTAGTAGCGTAGTAGTTATAAATCACGCAAAAAATATTGAATTTTTTTAGGCTCAGTATAATGATAAAAGGTTAAAGTGGTGTTGTTTTGAGTACAACACTTTATCTATGTTATTTAGCATAGCCAAAGTCGCCTGCGCAAGCTTGAAGTGTTATCTTTTGTGCACTCTGATGTCTGTGACGTCACCGCGTTCAGGTCTCAACTTATCACGCACGGGTAGTATAATGTTAATGAGATAAGTGTTTTGAGTAGGACAATGGGTGCTTGTAACATCAACGATCTTTAGCTGTTTTGTAGAGAACTTTCAACAACAAAAATATAATAAAAAAGTCTCTTAATTTGTGCTTAATGTGCTGGAATTTATTATTAAATTGGTTTATAATATATTTGTTTCAGTGATGGATGTTTCAACTGCTGCTGGTTTTACACCAGAATATGCTGCAACTAAGATGACAGATGCAATAGCAAATAAACAGAATGAACTGATTATTAGCCAATTTCTTCCAAGTCTTGCTGTAACCTTAAGGCATTCTATGCCATCTTTATATTTTTGGATTATGGCCAGAAGAGCAAATAAAACCACATAAATTTAAAAATGAATTTCTAGTCATACTTGGGGAACGTGATCCATTTTTTATCTCCCCTCCTCCTCTAGTTATCACGTAGTAATACATAAATATGGTTTTAAATGATATTGTACGGGCATAAAGTTAACAACTACACTGCACAGTGTTGTTCGACATTGACTACGTGGCGAAAACCTAAGACCTCCCCCCGCCCCTGTGACCAAGCGTGGTATTTTAAAGGCTCCCCTCCTCCCTCAGGACAGGCCACGTAGTATGGGTACGTTCCCTTATGTGATTATATTAATGTTAAAATACCTACTTAAAAGTCAGACAGCTTAAACAAATATCTTTTGACTAAGTTTATTAAAATAGGTATGATTAATGATTTGGACTGCTTAAAAGGGTTAATGGTAAATGTTTTTCTATATTTTGTAAATTGTAATTTTAGAGAACCCATGCTTTAAATAAAAGCAATGTTAGATATTATTTTTCTACTGTTGTAAATAAAAAACTATACATTGCATTATTGTATTTATTTTTTAACGGTAATTAATAATTTGGACTGCTTAAAAGGGTTTCTGGTAAATTTATATCTATATTTAGTGAATTGTAATTTTAGAGAACCCATGCTTGGAAAGCAATGTTAGGCATTCTTTTTCTACTGTTATAAATAAAAATCTATATTTTGCATTAATTTATTTATTTCATGATAACAGTGAGAATATATTTTAGAGATCACTGTTAGCATACCTTAGCAAGTTAATTCTCAAATAATCCCTATCATTTGATTAACTAAAACTTCCTTATATTACAAGAAAATATCTTTTGTACATGCTTTAAACTAATTCTACTATAAACTTTATAACATTTTTATACTACATACCTACTACAACAAATGATATAATTACAATAACGGACTCTTGGGCATTTAAACAATAATTTAGAAAGCATTAATTCATTTTATGCTTTTCGTGGGAACGTAGTGTAACTTTAATTAATGCCCTTTTTAATATGCTAACTGCAAACTATGTTTTCATTTAAAAACATTATATAATCTCCATAAGCAAATTGCAGCAGCTGTCATTGATACGGTAGTATGTAGTATTATCTTTCGTTTATTATCTGTATGTACTAGAACAACAGGTGATGCAGATGTAAGATCACTTAATATAGGCAGTGTTGCTAAATGTCTTCGATCCTTTTCTTCTTGATATTTGCAGCAGGGATCCCATTGCCATGAAAGTGTATAACAACCAGCACAAAGTACAGAAACTATTCCAAACGGTGAACAAGCCAGGGAACTCCACGCAAGACCTGAAATGAATTGATTACTTTTGAGATTAAAGACATACCATATGAATATTTATCATAGAAATACATTAACTCTGTAGCATAACAGTATGTCAGTTTAGTTTTAATACAGCTTCCAACATTTGACCCAAACTAACATTCAAAGACAGATAAAAGCTTTTAATTATAGTACTAATAAATAATTATTAAACATATGGTTTTACTCACATTTGTATATCGGGTAAGCCTGAGTAGGTTCAGACCTGACGGGGGCCCTCTGGAGACGTGCTGCGACGGTGTCGGGTGTCAGATGCCATTTTGAGGATGTTTCACTCCTTGAAAAAGGGCCCCCCATTGGGCATCCCCGAAATATACAAGTGAGTAAAACCATTTATCTAAGTAATAACACCACTCTTTGTGACAACTTTGTTGTAGAAAAGAAAAAAAAATGTCAGAAAATGTAGTTTAACCTTTTTTTTATTTGTATTTAGAATATATAAGATTTCTTACACATTGCTTAACCCTTAAACTACTTATGGAATCCTGCATAAATAATGAACAAAGTACAGGATACAGAGGACATAGAGATCTTGCATCCAGGGGAAAGCTACCACAAGCATTAACATGCACAACATTCATTTGTAAGAGCCACTGTGTTCTTGGCAGGTGATGCTTGGTTGGTGTCAGTGGTTCTTAAAAAATGGATTTGATTGATTGTTTATATGACAGTTTTAATCAATGTTTTAGGTATACAATTATAGCAAATGTCCCAACCCAAATTATTTAAATACTTTATAGGAGTTATATAATTTTATCAATCAGAGTTAAAGGTCAGTATAATTTTCATTTGTGTGTGGAATGTAGATATAAGAATAGTACTATTATTAATATTTTAAAATAATTTAAAATTATACTACGTTTGTTTGATGTCATTTATGTCTTCTTCATTGATAATACATTATTCAACTTCAAATACAGTCATAAAAATAATGAGAATAAGTAAAATTAAGATATTTATGCTCAATGTTCTGTATGTGATGGATACTTATATTAATACTATTTAAATATATACCTGATGCAATGCTACAGAGTCCACTGTAAACAGAAACCTTATGCAAGAGGTTTCCTACGTAAATCCAACGTGCTGTTTCTTCACCAAGTGGCTCCGGTTCTATTACAATAACTCTAACGCCAGCCTCCAATGCTCTTTCCAGTTCCATTTCGAATTTAATGTGAGCATTTTCACTATCATATACCTCTCTAATGATCGCAACACTGGATGGCTTTAAATCACTGTAAATAAAGAACGATTAGGAAATGTTGAAACGTACGAAACAAAGCACCATATATTTCACAATTAACTATTTAAAATGTTAATATCACGGATCTTTTATTTTATAAATAAAACTCGAGTTTAGTTTATTCATTTAGTATTTACAAACCTGTCACTTTCATCACCCGCCATTTTATGTATAGACAATATTTTATATTAATACGGTCATAAATTTGTCATTTTTATATATATATTTCAGTAAATAATATTATTAATAGAAACTGCACATAATAACCAAAATTTTTTAAATTATTTATGTTGCTTTTTCTGAAAACTCATGTATTATATTATTTTCAATCTTAATAAACATCTACAAACTCAATTTCCTACAAGACATGACATTCTCGTTTACCTTAAAAACAGATTATTTTTAACCTAATACTTTAATTATTTTTATGTTATTGTGATTTTATACCATTCTACTGTTCGTTTCGAAGAAAGAATACAATGAAAAAAAAATGTGATAGTGTGGCAAGAAATCTGCTTTTTCAATAAAAAAAAATGTACTGCTATCCTTTGAAATTACCCTTAATACCCTTTAATTTATTAAAATCTTTCATGTGTTCTATCAAATCTAGAGAAAACCCTTACGATGGATGCTAACAGTCCTATGTTCCTTTAGCTCACATACTAAGCTATGATGTGTTCCTATTATTTTTTGCGTGGTGTGTTAGTAACGCGTTCTATCCGCTCATCACGAGATCAATGCTATTGAATATTCTTATATTTTCCACCATATCCGGCAATAGTTTTCTTCTACAAATCAGCAGAAGGCGTAGATGCCTTTGATCATATTTTTGGTTGTAAGGGTAGGATTCTAGTAGTAGCAAAAAGAAACAAAGATAGCCTTAGCAGCAGTTTTATAATATGCTCATCATCATCATAACTAATCACCAGCCTACCGTCGTCTACTGCTGAACGAATCCAGTCAATATTGATTTATGCAACCTGGGCAAAATAAAATAATTTACTTATGTGGTTTATGAGCTCAAAATAAAAAAGGAAATAAACTAGCAATTAGATATTTTGTAAGAGAATTTTTTACCAACATGACCGAACTATGGTTATAATGAATTCTTTATAACCATAGTTCTTATAATGAATTATTTTGTTCTAGCGAATGCTGATCAATTTCATATTACATATTATAAAATCTGGAAATAAGTGATTGATACTGGATAATTTTCCTTTCGGTCAGTACGGTTTACAGTGGTTTACAGCCTGTAAGTACAGCGAGATAGCCGACTAGAATGACACAGTTTTTTGTTAGCGAGACTGTCCGACTTTTTTTTATACGCCCATGATTCTTCTATTAAAAATAAAAATCCTTGCCGTAGATCACCAATTATTGTATTGATGGTGCCATTCGCCCGTCGCGGTTTTCATGCTTTCCACTTTACTAGTTTTATGATATTTGTTCTAACGTCCCTGTAATATTTAGCTCTTAGTTACCCTTATGAAAGTCCTTCTTAGGCTTTAGAATATCTTCTTTCTAATAGTTGTAAGCAATGCCATACTCGTACTTGTTGCGTATCGTTCATAACTCTGACCAATTATTCTAAGGTAGATAATTGCACTAGATGGCTTTTTTAGATGCATCTCGTAGAATGGTCATAGAATGTCCTAAAGCCATCTACTGACGTTGTGAAATACTAACTGGAAAAATATTGTCAACTTTTTTAAATCAGCTGTGTCATAAAATCAAATGTAATACTTACTTAAGTAGTACTGGCGAATGTAAATTAGGGAACTGACTTATTAAAACATTAATTAACTCAATATTCTGCATTTGGAATACAAAAGAGTTTACTATTATGCATTAGAATATTGCCTGATCTAGGTCTAGAAAATTGCAGCACTCAGTTGTGTCTGCAATGTGTGATAACCCTTTTTTGCTAACTTTCAAAGGTTTGTTAGTAAGATTGTAAATAGTAATTAGTAGTAGTAATTCCAATTTTGTAAGCGAACTTTTATTTCACAAGAACAGTACCTACTTAATTTAATAACATGGTGATATATATTTTCACAGTCATAGTAATGGTCTTATGCGGAATCTGCCGTATCGATAGTCTGTATCTTTGTTTCTGGCACCAAATTGGCAATTGATACAGATAAGGATAGATGGAACTTTGATCTATATCCGGATAAACTACCACCTATAATGTTAAAGGTTCAAGTATTTTCTTTAGTTATTCTGTTAAGGATCTTGGCCTCCGCTGGCAAACCCAGGTCGCTAGCGTCAGTCAGAAAATAACAGGTACCCTGGGGGCCTTATACAGGCTTAAGAACTTTCTTCCCTCTGAGACAAAAGCGATGTTGGTTCAGACCTTAATAATCCCCATTATCGGTTATGGTGATGTGTGCTACTAAGACCCGAATGCAGACCTCCTCAACAAATATGACCGACTTCTAAATAACTGCATTCGATTTATTACGTAAATTTGAACATGTTTACCCCTCTTTATACTATTCTCAACTCACCTACTTCACCTACTTATTTGACATCCTCCTTCCAACTCCTGTGTTCTAATCATGACAGAACCCTTCGCTCCACAAATAATCTTCTTCTGTGATGCCCCTCTCATACTTCCGCTAGTTTTCATTCTTCTTTCGTTTTTCAATCTGTCCTCCTCTGGAACGCTCTCCTCCAGGAAATCAGAATTGGGTAACAGTATATTAAGACCAAAGTGAGAGCTCTCCTCACACACAAAGAAGCTACATCATCATTGGATTGATACCTAATATATTTTCCGAATTCTGTAAATGTAAGTATGTATGTATATGTTTGTACGAATGTATATATGTGTAGGTATAAGTATGTTTGTAAGACAGTTTTAATGATATTCATCATTTTTCTACCTGCATTTTTATTCGCGTATCCTTTTGTGTATCTATTTCTTAGTTAAGTCTTGTTATTGAGTTTAGTGCACATAATCACTCATTTCTACACAACCGCAAGGTAGACTGGCAGAGAATGCCTACGGCATCAATGCCTTTGTGTCCACCTTTGTACATATTTTTTTTTGTGCATAAAGTATTAAATAAATAAAAAAAATAAACAAATAAAAATAATAGGAATGATTTGAACAAAACTTGAATTTAAAACTATTAAATTATTAAAACTCAAGTCCCAATAATCACATTCCATTTCTATAATCATTATAACATTATTTAAATTCAAATTGATGGTTACAAGCTTTAACAATTTCAAGTCACGGAATGAAATAGCGAGAGCTTCGGCAACGTGAACTTAAGCGGCTCAAATTATTCAGTTGATTCGCTAAGTAAGTATTGATTTCCTAATTTACTTTGACATAACGAGTTTGCAATAATCATTAAACCAGTAATAATATCAATTGAGCCTAAACTCGTTATGCCAATAATATTTTGATTTCTTGTTCTTTAGCGTACTCTTTATTAAGCCATGACTTATCGTTGAGTATAGTGTTTATTTAACAAATAACCATGTGTGTACGTTAATTTATTTTTAACTTGTTTTGACCCGCAGCTTCGCTCGCCTACACCTGTATAGATTTGGTCCAGCATGATAACTGTCTAAAAGTTTTTTGTCAATGCTTCAGGAACTGACACTTATATGAAAGGTACCGTATGTTCTTCTCTGGACCCCGGACAACGATTACGCAAAATATTACGATGATTGAGTAAGCTAAGCATGAAAGCGTAACACACAAGCAACGTCAAAATTACTAGAGTTGGTGCGAATACTCGCTATTATTCGGTATTCGGCATTACTCGTCATTTTTTTGATATTCGTCGAATACAGAATAATAGCTAGTATTATTCGGCATTCGGCGAATAGTCGTCTAAAATAAACTTTTAATGAACAAAAAAACGAATGAGTTAAAAATAAATATTTTTTTAATTATTTTCCCTATTAAAACAATACAAAATATCAATTATTATCTGTAATATGTGCCTGTGCCTATCATATTCATGAAATTGAATTAGTTAGGCTTTTTAATTAATATTTAAAATCCAACAGAGGCAGATTGTGGTGCAAAAAAACAATTTTTTCTGCACGTGCGGGAGCAAGTCGGTTTAGTTTTTCCTCGTAAATTAAACCTGCCTTGGAAAATAGTCTTTCTGAATAAACAGAGCTTGCTGGTGTGATTAAGTATCGTTTAGCAAGCTTACTGAAAATAGGAAATCTATTCTTATTGGTACTCAAAGTCCACCATTCATATGGGTTTATTTTTCTGTCAGCCTTTGGTAATGCGATGTAGTTGGCGATTTCTTCAGCAGTGGCATTCTTGGGTTGCTCTTCAGTAGGTTGCTCTATAGATGATTCTTCAAAACATGCCCAAAATAGTTTATGAGTTTCCGAATCGATCTGCTCACTTTCATTGTCTAAACGAGACCTTTTGGATGCCGTTTCTGGATCCGAATCATCCATTTCGTCATCTAAAGAAAGCCTAAGACCTTCTCTGAGCGCAGCTCTACGTAAAAGTTCTTGTAGCGGGGGTCTAAAAATGTCGACAAGTAATATGTCTTCCTAAAGCATAGATCGTCCAAGTTAAAACGGGCTTCCATATTTTCTATCAACGCCTTTCTAAAATCATCAACGTGTGCAGTTTGTTGAATCAGCGCATCTTTCATTAGGTATCTGCTTAATGAAACAGTGCTAGGTATCACATCTGATATAGGTGCATATGTGGAACTCGTGATTTTTGTTATCTCTTCGAAAGGTTTTAAGAGCTTTAACAGATGTTCTATAACCTCCCACTGATCACTGGTCAAATTTTCAAAATTCTCGCTCCTTGAATCTGAAATTTAAACCGATTTTTTTTTGTTCAGATAGACGCTCCAGTAAGTAATATGTTGAGTTCCAGCGAGTTTGAATATCTTGAATCATTTTATGCTTAGGAAGTCCGAGCTCAGATTGAATACTTTCAAGTTTCGTATATCCTGAATGATTAAAATGTGTCACTATGCGGCGGGCACTAGTAAGAATTTCTTTTATTGGAGAACTGTTATCTAATGCGTTATTTATCACCAGCTGAAGAGTATGTATGAAGAAACGCTCTGAAGGAAGTAGAGTTTCCTTAACTCCTTTAACCATATTCGCCCCATTATCGTGAACAATCGCTTGAATTTTAGTGATGGGTATGTCC